CATGTACTTCATCATCAACCTTTTTCCTTGTTGCTGACTCTTCATGCATTGCAAGTCTGATGTCGCAAAATCATATCAAAACATAAGCTTGGGAGACAAACTTGTGCTCCCATACGAATTGAGCATTAAAATCCAAATTCCATTATTTTTCAATGTTTGTAGTAATTGATAAGCAAAGTAAATGCAACGCAGCCAATACTATATTGCAACAAAAAGAATTCTAACAAAACCATATTGCAAAAACTTGAGTAATCCCATTAAATTTAGAAGTAGCTAGCTTACGTTTTCTTCATCAAGGCCTTATTGCGATAGTTCTCCTTGGAGATCATCTTGCCCTTAATACCCAGAGTCTGTTATGGGGAACGTTAACATTGAGTTCAAAAATAACAAAAAACAAAACAACAAAAGCATATGTGCAAGCAAAGAGGTAACGAAACAGCAACAGAACATGACCTTCTGGGCAATCTGAGAATGCTTGTGAACCTCGCGGGCCTTCTTCTTGCGCAGTCTCTCGAAGTGATCATGGCGGTAGCCATTTCTCTTCCTGTGCAGATCTATATGATCTCCCTGCGGCTGTTAAAGAGCAATTTCAAGCAGTATAATCAGATTGGTAATCCCCATTAACACAGATATAGAACCGGTACGAAGATAATCGGAGACGAACCATGTTTAATCAGACGGCCTGAAACCTAGATGTCGGAGAGTAAAACCCCTTATTCGTTTGGAACCAGACGGCGGAGGTTTTGTAACAGAGCCGATGCCGCCGCCTATGTGCTTAAACCTTCTTCTGCACAAAAAAAAATGCAGATTTACAATTGGAAGAATTGGGCTTTGGTCCAAAGGTAAATATATGGGCTCAAGGGATAGCGGGCCATAGTTGGACTCCCATCTCCAATGGAGATCCTCGTTTGGAATCCCATTTTTTGTTTTACATTTATTTATTTTTAATTTTATACTCCGCATTATATTTAATAATATATAAAAAAATATTTTTGCATCAATATTAGAGCATAAAAATAATACCCGAGAATACTTAAATTTATTATTCCGTAATAATTATATTGAGAGAAAATATGAAGTTAAAAATATATTTCGCATAGCTTCGTTAAAAAAATATTATCATCACCATAATAACATGTGCAGCATAAAATTAATTTATTCTTTGAAATTAAATTCTTTGCCAATGCAATAGATTTGCATTTCAAATTAATTAGATTTGCACTCGAGCCATCTCCACTAGAATGCTCAAAGAAGATGCTAGGAAGAGAGTGTTAGCCAAAGTGCACAATTCTATGAGGGGGTTGGTTGGTGAATAGAGTTTAAATCTAGAATAAGTGTTTTTTGTATGTGATAAACCAAAAATAAAGACTATGATAAAAGTAAAGAGTATTGGGGAAGAACAATATCGTAAAATATACTGGTTCAACATCCGTGGCTAATCTTGTCCTTTGAGAGACTTTCTCAAAAGTTCTATTAACTTTTAAGCTTCAATAGGTGCTTGAAAAGTATTTTACAACTTGAGAACTTGAATCACACAAGTTTCATTATTGAAGAAAAGAAATAGATTTATGTTTTTTTCAAAAAAATTATAACTAAACAATAGACTAAAGTGTACCAACTTTTATTTATTATGTCGATTATTTATTATGAACAACTTGGTATGAATCGAGTGTACGCATAATACTGAAATCGTACCGAATCATTCGAATAACGAATAATAACAGTGTGATGTGAGTTTTTTTTAAATATTAAAGAGGGTAGATGTTTTTTTTTTGGAAAAGGGTACATGTTATTTGAAAGGGAGAAAAACCAAAATAGCACTATAAGAGCATTAAAATACTCTAAATAGCAGTGCTATATGTTTCGTACCTGTGATTCCAATTTTATCCTTTAATTAAACAGCAAATGTTCATTATGCACTACCAAAAAATATGATTCTTTTGGGCAATGTGGTTGTTCACTCGTAATTGTGTAGTGGGCAGTGTGATTTTTATATGTGAGTTTTAATGTGGCAGTGTAGAATGGATATATGTTATTATATTTTACGGCAGTGTGTAATTGTAGTATTGTGTTCCTTAATTTCATGTTGTAGTGTAATGTCCATTGATTTATGTGGCAGTGATTCCATGTATAAATTCTACACTGTCAAAAAGTGTATGATTATTTTCATGTATGAATTTCACACTGCCCAAAAAATGTATAGCTCTTTTTATGTATGAATTCCACATTGTTTTCATGTATGAATTCTACACTGCCAAAAATGTATATGATTGTTTTCATTTATGAATTCCACACTGCCCAAAATTGTATGACTGATTTCATGAATAATCTATTAGACCAAAACACACTGGCCAAACATGGACTTGGCTTTTTTTGGTCTTTCTTGATTTATATGTAAGTCTCATTGTCACCACTTATTTATAAAATTTTTATGTAGTTTTGTTAATATATAATTCCTATTTTATAATTGGCATATTTTTATGATATAATTTTGATATATCGTATTTTTATTATATATATTTATTCAAAACTACATTTAATTGATTGAAGAAAGAATTTGATTAAAAAAGAGTACTATGCCACTATGCACAAAGTATACATTATGTGAGTCCGAATTTTATATAAGAGTTGAAAGAGGAATTGGAATTGAAACAATTGATAATGGGATAGATAAAGGGAGAAATACGAAAATAGCACTTTAATAGCCTTATAATACTCAAAATAGCAGTGCTATTAGTTTTTGAGATGAATTCCTGTTTTTGTCCTTAAATAAACTCCCAAAATTAGAATTATACTGCAATGTATACTCTTCACTGCCACATTATAAATAAGTATGAAATTATCTGCCCTTCACTGCCACAATATGTTTGAGATTGAATTTAGTGCCCTAACACATACAACACTGCAAAAAAAAAAGCAGAATTCATTTTAAGCCGTGACCTTTTATTTTTTATGGTAATTATACACTGCAATATATACTCTCTACACTGCCACAATATGTACTTCCAAAAATTCAATGTCTGAAATACACTGCCACAATATATACATTGCCAAAAATTCAATGTCTGAAATACACTGCCACAATATATACACTGTCACAATATATCTACACTGCCACAAAACACAATAATTAAAACTAAAAATATAGCGAAATCTGAATAAAAGGATGCAAGACAAAATTTTAACATTTAATCTTCACACTGTCCACACCATAACACCTAATCTTCACACTGCCAAAATCACAATGCCTTTCAAAAGACCTAATTTTTCAAAAGGGACAAATACTTGGTATTTCAAAATTGATTTTACAACATACACCCAATCTTCAATACTAAGAAAACACAATAATTAATACTAAAAATACAGGGGAATCCGAATAAAAGGATGAAGGAATGAAAATTAAAAATTGAAGGAGAAGAGAAAATGATTAGCGACATCAAAGATTAGCATGGGAGAGAACCTGATGATTGCCGTTGCGGATCGGCCAAGGAATCGTGGGCGAAGGACTGAGGACGCATCATCGCCGCCGAACGGAAGGAGAGACCGTGGAGTTCAATAGCGTGCGGGCCGGGAGAACGGAAGGAGAGATTGGAGTTGAATGCCGTAATTTTTAATGAAAAAAAAGAAAAAGGGGTAAAGGATATGATAGGAAAGGATTGACACCATAAATTGCTAAATTTGTTAAAAAAAATGAGTAGTGCTAAATGCGTAATTTAGGGTGAGTTAGAGTGCTATGTAGGGTGATTTCTTATAGATAAAAGAGATTGACAACATAAAGGGTATGATTGGAAGAGATTGGCAACATAAATAGCTAATTTGGTAAAAAACAATAAGCAGTGCTAAATGCGTAGTATTAGATGAGTTAGGGCCTGTTCTTTAGGACTGGAAAAAAAGAACTGGAAACTGGAAAAAACTGGAAGAAACTGGAAAAAACTGGAAGAAACTGGAAAAAACTGGAAGGAACTGGAAGAACTGGAAGAAACTGGAAGAAACTGGAAGGAACTGGAAGAAACTGGAAGAAACTATAAGAAACTGGAAGGAACTGGAAGAAACTGGAAGAAACTGGAAGGAACTGGAAGAAACTGGAAAAACTGAAAAAAATTAAAAAAAAATTAAAAGAAATTGAAAAAACTAGAATAAATTGTAAAATCTAAAAAAAGTTTTTAAAAAATTTTTATGTGTGGTTTTAAATTATTCTCATTCTGATTCTTGTTGATATAAATTATTATTACTATTATTATAATAATTATTATTATTATTATTGTTGGTGGTGGTGGTGGTGGTAGTGGTGGTGTTATCATGTTATCCAAATGATTGTTTTTAAAATAAAAAAATATTATGAATATTATTTTTCATACATAAAAAGATATTTTAAAAAATTAATTAGAATATACAATTAGCATAAATATCAAAATGTTAAATAGTTAAGAGTTATTATGGCTATGCTGTATTTATTATAAAATAATATATTTGTAATTATATTTTATACATTATAAGATTTTGTTTTAAATATCTGACATGTCACATAATGTAATCAAACTTATTTTTCTTAAAGGATTGACAATTTATTTCCATTTTAACCCTATTTTTTGAATAAAAATATAGAACTGGTATTATTCATATTAAAAAGTTGAAGAAAAAAATAATGAATGTGAATCATAAAAATAGTGAGATGAAAAAATTAAATAATTTATAAACTATAGTTATGAACATAAAAGTTGTAATTAAAAAAATGTAATAATAATAATAATTATAATAATAATAATATATTTTTTAGAGTTATTTGTCAAAAGGTAGAAAGAATTTGAAGAAAATAAATATAGTTGGAAGAAATTAGAAGAAACTGGAAAAAACTGGAAGAAACTGGAAGAAACTGGAAGGAACTGGAAAAAACTGGAAGAAACTGGAAGAAACTGGAAGGAACTGGAAAAAACTGGAAAAAACTGGAAGAACTGGAAGAAACTGGAAATTCCAGAGGAGCGGCGACATAGATTGCTCCAATTGCTAAACCCAAGGTGTGTGGTTTATGCATCGTTTCAGCCTCTTTGATGATAGAACTTAGAGTTATATGCATAAATAGTCCCTGTGGTCTTTCGTAAGTGGGTAAATAGTCCTCAAACTTTCAAAAGTTGCCAAATAGTCCCTGTGGTCAAAGAACCATTGTATAATCAGTCCCCCTATTACAGAATTCGTAAAATGTAAACGACATACGCGCATTATGCAAAGATACAAATTATGTAACAGTAAAAAAAGCTAATTTGAAGTTTTAGTTGTGATGTGTAAGTTTGAATCGTAGTACAATATTTTCTATCTTTTAGTTTAACACTCACAACGACTTCTTCGTCTCTTTTAGAGTGATATTCTTGAATCATAGTATAATGTTCTATGTGAGCTCAAGATTATTTGATTTTTCATGTAGCCTTTATTCTATGGTAATGCCGTGTGATATGAGAGCTGGAAAAAGACCATTCCTTGCATTTAACCACGTAGACGAGGGTAATTTCATCAAATCAATTTTTTTGGGTACATTCTTCGCATTTTCACACAGTATGCATGTGTTCTGCATTCTTTATGTTTTCTTTAAAGGAGGGATTAATTATGCATCAATTCGTTGACCACATGGACTATTTTACAACTTTTAAAAGTATAGGGACTATTTACCTACTTATGAAAGACCACAAGGACTATTTGTGCACATAACTCTAAAACTTAATTGTAATGAATTGGCCCATTCCACTTTTTGACGGGGTTCTTTGAAATAGTTTCTCCACTCCATGGGTAGAGGTAAGGTCTGGTTACACCTTCCTCCGGACCTTACTTTCGGTGAGATTTTTTAGGGTCGTTTGGTTTAGTATACTTATTTGTAAACTGTAATGCATTCCTGCTCCTATGTAATTTCATTTTAATTATTGAAAATGAACACTAGTCCATCCATTGTAAAAGGGTGTCATTATGTAGTGTTGGGTATTATGCAATTGGTACAATATCAAGATAGAAAAGTGTAAAACATGAACAATGAGTCATCTAAGGACTAAGGTTAGCAGTTTGTGAAGGTGTGCCATGTTTTATTTGAATATATGTATGGGTAGTTTTGAAAGCAATGTACTGATAGATGATATATTTAAAATGCAAAATGGCAATTTTTTTGGACAGAAAAGTTTAAAGTTAACATCCTTTTCGGAACCAAGGGACTTTCCAATCTCCTTGGTATTGTCTTGTCTATGTTGATTGTCAAGTTGTCTTAAACAAGTCAAATGCACTTATCCATTGTTCTTTTTGTGTTTTTTAGTTTATCCCTTGTTCCTTGGATAAGAGATCAGAATGTAAATGCTTCACATTGGCTTTTGTTTTATCTGTTGAGGAAAAACATACTTTCATGCTTTTCAATCTTAAATTTAGAATACTTGAACATTTCATGTTTTGCAAGTGGAAAGTTTAGTAATTGTTCCATCTATGTCAGAAGAGGTATAGGCAAACTTTTTCAATGAAACATAACAAGAAATTGCACATACTATAGCAGCGTGGCTTCTCAATTCTAAAAGTTCTTACAGGCTAATATCGAGAGCTTGGGAGATAGCTGGGATGAGGTATGATGACCCCAAGTTGGCAAAGAAAAGTGCATCTTGCTTGCTCTCCGATAATCATGGATCGACCTCACTTGAATTTTGGAAATGCCGAACAAGTGGAGGTTGGTTTTTGCTCTTTCACTTATTTAGCAATCATCCAACCCAGCTAGCATGGGAATATGTTGAGTTCCTTGATCGAAGTACAAAGCTACTCAATTGAGTACGGTTGTTTATGAAAGATGTTTTGATACATTCAAATTTTTTGTACAGGGCCACTACTCATTGCCTGGATAAATTCCTTCAAAAAGGTCTTCACTGTGATATGTTGTTGCATCTGGACGTATATTCTGCATGTTTCAATTTATTCCCCATTTTCTAGTATCCACCACTCTGCTTCTCATTGATGATAATTCGTTGGCACAATTTTATGCTGATTTCTTTGTCCATGTTTTTTTCTAGGCTGTCTTTTGTAGTGTGGATGGGAAGACATATGGAAGATTCATTGGTATAGTCACATATCATTCTTGAGGCAGTATATACACATTGGCTTATGAAGCACAAAAATCATTTAATAATGCACATGGTTTACCTTTTGCTACTACTACATATTCTGTATTTTTTCCCATTCCTTGACAATTGAAAATGTTTTTGACAACAAAAAAACTAAATATCAGGTGGATCTATCCTGACTGGAATTTCAAATTCCTATCCACTATATTTTACGGTTCGAGAGTCCAATGAAGTGATGTCAACAGAGCAACCTTGTGATTTGGCTTATGAGTTTGGAAATGGACTCTTCGATATACCCGAATTGCCACAAGGTTTTCCGAAGCCAGCCAGGCATCCTTGGCCATTCAATGATCAGGTTGTTGTGTATGTTCGTCACGTGGGCCCGGGAGTAACCGTGGGGCAAGCATGGAAAGAGGGCGAAGCACTGGAACAAGTGCCTAAGAAGCTATACGGAGAGATCTTGATGGTGAGAGATTGTTTTCCAGAAGGAACCAATTCTGTGATCGCCATGAGATGAGCCGGACTATCTCCCAAGGTTTGTTCATGTGCCTCCTCACAAATGGCTGAGGAAGCTCCCTCTTGTATCACAATCCTATACATAATTTCATTCACTACAAATATAAACTTTGTGCTGTTTTCTATGCAAGTGGTGGCATCAAACAGGGTTCTTTTTCACCCTGAGTTCTCAAAAGTCTGGCAAAGGGATTGAATCTCAAATCAGTTTCAGATCATTCTCTAACAGAAGCTTCATTCAGCAGGGAAAATCATTTTGAAGATGAACGCTACTCGAGAGGTATGTGACTTGTAGCATTCAAAATATTGGATTTGATCTGTCAAGAAAACAAACAAGGCTTTCGGTAGAGGAGTTTGTAGTAGTCCTGTTACATGTTGTTGGCGTAATGCTTATATATGTGGTTTCTATAAAGCACAAGTAAAATGGATCCAAACGCAAGTTTGAACTCATCTACTGTATTTTTCAGTGCGCGAGGAAATGAAGAATGGCTGCATCTGCTCGTTCCATTCCTAAGATAAGTTTTTGTTGAACTATTTTTGTTAACCGTTTGTTAAAATAATGTAGTCAAGTCAGTTTTTGATTTAGTTTTTTTAATTATATGAATTTCATTTTAATTGAATTTTACATCCATGTTTAAATAAATTAAATTAAAAATAATTTCAGCCAAACTTTGTTAACTTCATCATGGTCTCTTTTTAAGATAGCTGGAGTAGTTAATATTGATTTATCTCCAATCATTCTGACCTGCTATTTCTGGATTGAGATCGGTATGTTGTAACTCCCATACCAAATTTGAAATATTCGATATGATATCATTACGAAACGAATAAAATCGTTGTCATATACCCTCTCATGCTTGTTTTGTTACATACTCCGTATATTGAAACTATGGACCATCTTTTCTACTCATTTGCTTTTATTGTATGGGTGGAGTTTTCCATTGAATAATGATGTTCTGTCTCCATAGCCGACTCAAAGTTTCTCCACACATTATGGGGTTCTCTGTATGAGTGCTTATTGACTTATTGTTTATTGAATTATTGCTGATAAACAGTTTTTAAGTTATAAGCTGTTTATATGTCAAATATTTTTTTGTGAAAGTAATATGACTTAAATAATATATAAATCATTTATAAATATTCATAAATGGTTATAGGTAGATTTGTAAATAATCTGTCCAAAACGGGGAAATAAAAAATGATTTAAAATTTAGTAGTTAAGATCTATTTATTTTTTTTTAAATTATAAACAACTTATAAGCACGTAAAAATATGTTATCAGCTTACTTATAAATTAAAAATTGCTTATAAGTGATTAATTTATAAGAATAAAGAAACACCAACTATATAAACACTTCAACTCAACCATACTTTCTCTATTTTATTCTTCTCCAGTCACTCAACCCAAACATTTCCTTTTACCTTTTTCTTTTCTTTATCTTCTTTTCCTCCCTCTCTTCTTCGTTGGGGTCGTGTATTTGTCATGATATCAATGTGAATATTTGTAACAATTAAATTTAAAAATATCATATTTTAAAAGTAATGCACACATATTATTTAAATGTTATCCATCAAGTATATAAAAAGATATCTTATGGCACATTGGCACACAACCCATTAATAATGTCAAAACTCAAAAATATGTATTCAACCTAATAATGCACAGCAAGACAAGAGTTGATAATTTGATATCAACTCCCAAAGTTCTTGGTGATGCTATTTTATTTGCAACCATGCTACACTTACACAAAAAATTGTACCCCTTTAATACCCTGCAGTTATACATAAATATTTTAATGGTTTACACTGACACAAGTGTTGGTGCGTTAACAAAAATTTACATAGACACAAAGTGTTGATACATTAACAAAAATTAGTTTTACACTAACACAAAGTGTTAGTGCTAACCTGCACGGTACAAAGTGAGGTACAAAAACTTGGGGTACAAATAGCTTTGTCCATTTGATCATCCCAACTTTTTGTAATACCATTGAGCCTCTCACCATTTATTTTTAAAAATTCTCCTACCATTGCGTAATGCATTTTTATTCTTAAAATAATCCTCCCAAAATATATGAAAATATTTTATTTCCAAACAAATATATATAAGTAAAAATATAACCCATTTTCTACTAATGCGTTTCTTTGATAAAAAATAAATAAAATAAATTTTTGAAATTTCAAAAAGGTTATTATTTGAAAAAATACATTAAAAATAAGAGGTGAATTTTTGAAAATAAAACAATGAGAGGGATGAAACGAAAGACTCCAATTTGCTGCACTAAAGTCATCTCTTCCCCTTCCACCGGATCATCCCGACTGAAATTCCGAGTCAACTCGAGATGCTTCCGCAAAGTCGAGCTCTGACCGCCCATCTCCCATCCTCGCCTCTCCCGACTGCCCATGTCTACAGAAGAGCTTCTCTCATCTTCCCCAAATCCACCAAAACGAACCACCATTACTCGTTAAAGAATCGGAATCTTTGTTTCAGATATTCATATCGACATCTGAAATGCTCCGTCTCCGTTGCTTCACCGGAGCCCGCCCAATCTGAATTGAGTAGCGACGGAAAGCCATTCCCAGCTGAAGTTTCCAGAACAATCATGGAATTGGCATCCGTAGGCACTCTGTCCACTCTGACCCAAGACGGCTGGCCTCTGGGTATCGGAGCTCGCTTTGCTGTTGACCATGAAGGCACTCCGATCCTCTGCTTGAATGATTCCATTTCTAAGGAATCTGTTAATAGCAAGTCCAGCTTTCACGTCCAGGTTTTTGATCCCTTCGATTCTCAGTTTCTGCTGTAAAGTTTGAATCTTTATGGTGTTCTTGGGGATGATTTGAAATTCTCAATCTTTGATGCATTCCTTTGCTTTGTTAACAGCTAGAACAGTGTGGGGTGAGGAGTCCACAGTGCACAGTTCAAGGTAGTCTTGAAAAGCCAGAAGACCCCAATGTTTTGAAGGTACCCTTTCTTTTTATTTTGCTTAATAGATTAGGACACATTTTACAGAATATAACCACAACTGGATCAATGTGTGGATTTATTAATCCGAAATAGTGATGCGTTCATTTGCTTCCAATCAATGTGAGTGAGTAACGTATCTAGTGAAATGCTAGATATGGATTGATACTCAAGCATGTGCGAAATGCCACTCATTTATTGAAATTCACAGTAATTGATTTTTGTTTGGATTAATTCGTGTTTCAATGCAAAACTAAGGTATCAAGTAAGGTTCCTTTTTGGGTGTTTGCATTGACCTTGAGATTAAAAAGTTAGAGAATCTCATTTCATTTTTATAACCCTTTTTGTACAGAAGCTTCAATCAGTATGGAAAAGGCGTTTTGGTGATGAAGTAGACGCACACAGCTTGTATGGTGTTTCTGTTGAGCGATTGTTCCTTATTGAAGATTTTGGGGAGGTATGTGACTCATTGTTGTTCAAAGTCAGATTTCTATGTTTTCTTTTATGGGAAGAATCCATTTATTAGTTACTTTCAGGATGGTGTATGGGTCAACTCTTCAGAATATAAGCTGGCAACCCCTGATCCACTCAGAGAATTGGCAGAAAGAATGATCAGTGAGATAAATTTTCACAATATGGAAGACGTTATTCGCTTTTGTAATGTCTATGTGGATTTGGATTTTCGGGTATGTAAACAATCGTTATAGCAATTGATACATATTCAAATTGTCCAATGTGGTTTATGTATTACCTCTCTAAGTTTTTTTTCCCTACTGGTTCTCTCATAGGTATCAGATGCAAGGTTGCTATGGGTTGACAGATTAGGGTTTGACGTCCGTTTCTGGTCCCCCGAGAAGGATATTTTTGAAGTTAGAATTCCTTTTCCCAGCAAAGTAGCCGATGCAAAGGGTGCTAAATCTTCTTTCAATTGTATGTCTCAACTGGCTTGGGAGGTGGAGAAGAATTATCAAGCACCACAATTTGAGAAGGCAAAGAAACTTAAAAAGATAATGTTCAAAGGGAGATCTGAAAAAGTTGGCATCTCTTAGACATTTCAAGTTTTGCATCCACCTTTGTCTACAATTCAGTCTTGCTTCACAAGCTATGAAGAAATGTTTCGGTTTTCCTGATCATTGTAGCTCTTTTGATCTATTCTTCAAACTCCATGTGTAGAACAACGTTTTGAAATGAATTGGTTTTGCCATGTTGTGGCTTTGTAATGTTAGTCAAGATGACAATTAGTCATTGTCTCAATTCTTTATGATTTTTTTGCTTGTATGTCCTATAATTAAGTTGTTTAACTACTTGACTAGTAAAGACAGGGTTTTGGCTAAGGGAAATGTACTGATTGATGAATACATGAAATACTCTTGAAGTTCACTATTATATATACATAATAAATTTTGGTGCTCCCTTCCCCACCACAATAAGTTGGTATACAAACTTACATGATCATGCAGCTGTGGGAGTTGAACAGATTGGATTAGCAACCACACTATTGACCTTGCTGATAAGCTCTGTGCATTTGGTTAAATTGGCTGCACCAAACTCCTCTAACTCTGGTTGAAATAGACATCTGATCATTCTCTCCACTCTTTCTGGTGTGTACTTTATATCTACTACTTGAGATGCATATTTTTCAATGAAGAGAGGAAGAACAGCATGAAGAACAGCTTCACAGATTCTCCATCTCAACCCTTTGTCACATAGTAAAACCCCAGATTGGATCTTACAAATCCTCTCAAAGGCGTCACCGAAATCTTCTTCATCTTTTAGCTTCTCCCAGCTCTCCTTCAGATAAATTGCGATGTAATGCTCCATGTTTTCCTCATGCCTTGTTATCCACTGATCTCCCATGATGTCACAGAGTTTTGTACCTCTTGTATATTCACTGAGGTACTGGTTGGCATTGATCAGGAAGAGGGAGGAGAGGGTGGGGTCCACGTACGCTCTGGCCTGTGCTTCCAGATTCTTCTCCAATGCAGTCATTATGTTGTGAATCTCGTTCGTGAGGAGATTCTCGTTGAATTCTTTGTGGGCCCACCCTTGGTGAATCTCAAGAACTTGGAGTAAAGTCGACCAGTAGTCGTCTTCCAGTAACAGGTTGCAGAAACCAGTGACAAAAATGGCCAGTCTTGGAACACCACAGTTACCTGGTGGTGGAGATGGAAGCTGTTGAAGTTCAACTTGAAGGGGAAGTTCCCAGAAAATTTCACAAGCCCCATTCACAACTCTCTTGATCAAATCCCTTGTCTGGTTCTGTATGTCCCTGCAAGCTTTCCCCTTGAAAAGTCTGTTAAAATCCAGTCTTAGCTTTTCAAGAACTGCAAAAATTTCCAAAAGCTTCAGAAGCTTGATTGCTTCCTTCTTTCCCTTTGCCACCATCTTCGCAAACTCAAAGAAAGATTGAATCCCAGACTGGGAAACGATCCGCGCAAAGATTTCTGAGTAATTTTTCTGGAAAATCTCCCTGCAGAGATTGTGTTCTATCTCAAACACATATTTCACTGCGAATTCCAAATGCATTCCCCACTGATCTATCATTGTGTTTTCTACACTTTGAAGGCTTTCAAGCTCATTTAATGGCGTTTCCAGGTAATCCAAGCCCAGTTCTTGCAGAGCTTCTCTGGCAAATGAACTCCGGATTTCAACATAAACAGAAACACAACTTTCGCGACGATTATTTGCAGCTAACCTCTCAACAATGGCATGAACTTTGTCAATCATGTTAGTATCACCCATCAAGAGAGTGGCAAGCTCACCTTCCAGTTTGTCCAAAGCTGAAACCAGACTTCCTCCTTTTGACCAAAACCTCTCCTCCATGGCCTGCACTTCGCCAAGCGTCTCCAGAAATTTCTTGACATTCCCAAGATACCCTTCATCTGCAACGGGATTATCATGGTCCTCCTCAAGAAGAGATTCCACTTGTTCCAGCCACGGGATCGCCAATCTACAGTAACCAGTGAGGAATCTCAGCGACTCTCCACTGCGCTTGACGGTGTCTAGGTAATCCCACAAGCCAGAAGAAGGGTCAGAGGACAAAAGGGTATTTTCCAAACCAGAGACGAGCTGAAACATTTTCAGAATAGAATCAGAGAGATGAATTGTATGGGCAAGAGGGTCTTTGATCTTGTTATAAAGACTGCATTTTTTTGATATTTTACTGATGCATGATTCTAACAATGCCAGTCTCTGGTTTGTCTTCTTCAACCTCTCCTTGGCATTGCCCAAATCCGCAGATAATTCTTTCGAAACTTCCAAACAGCACCTTAGAGTGTCTCTGGCAGCTCTAAGCTTCTCCATTTCCTCCATCTCTCAATATACTCATATCAAAATCAAAATCTTGAATCTGTTATGATGTTTTTCTCTCTTTCTTTCTTCTTCTTGAGATTTTCTTGTTTTACCAAATACAAAATGAGTTTGCAGCAAGTGTACCAGCTCAAGAACCAAACTTTGCTGCTAAAAAAAGAAAATGGTTCCTTAAATCGAAGACAAAGACAAGAAAAAAAACTGCTGGGCAGGTTGATGATCCGGTATTTGCGGTCCCAGGTTATCTTAACCGTTGGTGGCGAACGGCTGAGATTGAACAGACGGGTTTGATGTTTGTCCCAAAACCGCTACAAGTTCGCGGGATCATGCGAATATCCCAACATGGGAAACTGCATGTCGATGAGACCAAAATGATGTTGTAATCTTAAATAGTTAAATGAACAAACAATTAATCTTAAAGATATAAATTTTGTTCTATAAAGGGTAATGTATTCTTTAGAAATCAAGCCGTTGAGTGCTTAGGAAGATGCAATCATAAATGTGAATAAATAAATTATTGGTTGTTAAAGGAAGATCCAATTCTACAACTCCTATATACCACAATGCATAGGTGCATTATAATACTCTAATCCGTCTAGGTTTGCAGACCCTTTCGGATTAAAGTATAAATTTGGTAATCGTAAAATTTAAAATATTTTAAACACTTTAATTCAACACAAAATAATATTCATAATAGAAACAGTACAGAGTTTTTAATGTTGCGGAAACTTTACAAATCACAACCACAAATTAAAATTAATTTATGTCTTTTGAAATAACAATTCAAAACAATCGCATCCACCCCGACAATCTCGTCCCCGTCTGCTGTGAGGATCACATCACATCATTCTTTCTATTTTGTTTGATTAACCTGACACTTAAACTATAATTAGTTTCAAACAAGTATAACCCAATTCTTAAACTGTAATTAGTTTAAGGCAGAAAATCGAGCAGCGGACTATTCACTGTCTGGTTGGATGGTACACTCAAACGAGTAGATACTCAAGTTTGGTTTATGGATCCCGTACGTAAGTTTTAAGCTACGCCACAGGACATCATACCGCAAGGCCTAACTAGATTGGTCATATGGGGTGTTTCTTACGTGCCTCCTCCTACTCTACTCATCGATCACCATATTTATAGAAGAGATTATATGACCCTCCCTTGTTCACCCGTGAAGGTCACTATGCATACTAAACAATTGTTCAATCAATGACTTAAGTATGACTATATGCCAAGACACTATTCAATCAATGACTTGTGGAGAATATCCACTAGCCAATTAGCCCTGCAAGATGACAAACATTCTTTTTACTGTTAGCCCTGTGACGGATAAACAGCGGTGTGGTCCTAGACTTTTGATGTTGATCGTTATACTCTGGAGGGAAGATGATCGTTGGCCAGCGGTATAGTCTGATCGGTCACCTTCTGTCAAGGATGACCGGTCAACTTTTTGCTTTCAGACCCGTCTCTACAGTCTCATGAATTATTTCCCGCAGAAGTTAGGATCACTTTGGTCATGTTTCGAAGTGTGACCGGTCACTTCTCGGGGAGAATATGACCGGTCAAATAATGACCCGCTTCTTTTGGCGTGTTCGTCATTTCCTAGAGTAGACATAATATGACCGATCAACATCTGACATGTCACTTCCGGGTAGTTCGGGCAGGGTATGAGTTATACCCATCAATAATTAATTGATGTGTTTGTTTTGGTTGTATTTAGATTTTAATTGACGTGTTTTGACTTATAAGAAAACTAATTTTGAGATAATCATTTTACTTGTTAAGAATTGGATAGCTTGACTAGAACAATGATCCATATATTATTAGAGCACTGGCAGCGGGCGAGGCAAATGCCTGCCACGCTTGCCACATCAGCTCCCAAATTTTTTTTCCATGCTTAGCATGGAGAAGAAGACCATTCCCCCACGGTGAGCAAGTCAATTGCAAGGCATCCCACCCATTCCCATGCCTCTTTTTATTTTATTTTATTTTATTTTTTGATAAAAAACACTTTTTTTTTGTAAGGAAGTAGAAGTATTTTTTTAATGAGACAAATAGCAAAAATTATTTTTAATAATTAAAATACATTACAAAAATTTTAAAAAGTGATTAAAGTAACGACTTGCCACTGTAGGGTGCGCCACTCCACTCACTTGTCACTCTCTGACTGAATCATTTTTTATTGGTTGATTTATGTCATGTCAGCGTGTGACATTCTTCTTTTTTTCCTTGCCATTGTTCATGCTCTTAGGTTCTAAACTCTTTTGTTTCAAGTTATAGTTTTCTTATAAAAAAGCTATAATTTTTTTGTTCTATAATTTTAATTATTTTCATCAATTTGATAAATAATCATTAATTTTTTTGAATAATATTAATTCTATTACAATATAATATCTGTTGCTAGATGTTGATAGATTTTTCAACTTGGGTAAATTTTCACATGAATTTTGGGGAACAAACTTCCTGTATAGATATATAAAAAATACAGAGTAATATACATGCTACCTTCGTCTGAAAATGTTTTTTGCATTTGACTTTTCTTAGTCAAAATTTGTAAGCTTTGTCTCTACTACATAAAAAAATACATTGTATTATGATATAAATTTAATATGAATATATTCTTAGTGAAAACATAATTTTCAAATATAAAATTTTTATAAAATATATCTATGTATAAATATAGATAATAATCTCGTGGATTAGATAAAATAAAATATAGATAAATATATCTATTTATTTGTGTTTTTTCATGACCTATATGATAAAATAAAATATTCTTGTCACTACTTGTTTTGTTGAACTTTTGATGTAGTTTTTAAATATGTATGTTTTATTTTTTATTTATATACCAATATTTAAATAAGATAGATTGAAAAAACTTTTAGATTTTTTCAAAGATATTGGAAAGTATTTACGAGAAGAAGGAAAGGTGCGGCTCCGGTTCATTGGCTTTATTTGTGCCCAAACCCTCAGTCGGTCGCCGCCGTCCGCCGATAGTCACCTCTTCGGCAAGAATCAATCTCTTCACACAGGTGATTTGAGTCCTTTTTCTATATGAACGTAACCGTATTTCTTTTCAAGACGTAAGTGGCTTTGGTTACATGATTTCATTTTTCTCGGATTTCAAGTGCTTCGATGTGCGATCTTACAATGGTCTACCTGCGCGTGTGTCTATTTACATCCATGGACAGATGCAGGGTTTTTTTCTTTATTGAGATCTGGATTTAATTTAATCTTGATGATGCATTCAAATGATCGATGCAATTAATTTAATCTTGATGATTACCTTTTTCTTTGCGGTTTTAGGGTTTGACAAACGGTCCAGTAATTTCTGGTTTATTTGCAACCTGCTGAACAAGGTGACTTTTGCTTATCCAGAATGCAAAGATGTTCCATTAATTCCTGGTCTCTGCGCCATAGTAATCTCTGCACTTTCTATATCTCTCTGTATATTTTCGAAATGATATATGGATCTTTTTTTTTTTTCTTTTTTTTCTTCTGCCCGAATCTTCATCTTCCGGAATGATGATCATTTATATATATAAACATATTTGCCCCAAGTCGTTTGAGTGACAGATATGGACCTAGGAATGGGAATGGAGATGGATCGTTGTTTTCAAGAACTTGAGCCGGAAATGTCAGCCATGAATCTATCAGATGGTGACCCCATAGCAGTCCTAACTGAACTCAACCACCGGCTCCGCAACATGAATCCACCAGAATCACATCCAAAGATGGAATTCGTTGTGGAAAGGACTGTGGGTGTGTTGCTCAACCACAGGCTCCGCAACATGAATCCACCTGAATCACATCCAAAGATGAAGTTCGTTGTCCAAAAGAGCCTGGAAGCTGTGGGTGTGTTGCTTTCCAAGATTGAAAGGGCATACGAAAACCTTGGGTTTGACACCCATCTCATGAACCAGATAATTGTCTACCATTTCTACAGGGAAGGCTTGTTCTATGCGGCGAGGTACTATGCGAAAAGAGCAGGTGTGGTTCCAACTGAGATCCTCAAGCAATTTGAACTGGGCAAATGTATGCTGAAGCTTTTGAAGGCAATGGATGTTGACACTGCACTGAATTGGGTCTCGGCAAACAGGGAACGGTACGACAATGGCGCTAAGTTGGAGTTGGGACTTCACAAGTTGAAATATGTAGGCCTGTTTGCGGGATCAGAAAATCTCGAGGACCCAACAGTACTGGAGTATGCCAAAACTCATTTTGGTACTTGGGCTAAACTTAACCAGGATAAGTGTAAAAAGGTGTTTTGGGAAGCGTCAAGAGCGAGAATGGCATGCTGCAATGGGGGGTTGGATCATATCCCTATGGACAGGTTGGTTGGTGATGTTTGGAAAATGTTCTGTCAAGTCACGCCGGTAACAAGCTCTTTGGACCCTCTGGAAGTAGCCATTGCTGGTGGGGAGGATGCAGTGTTGACTCTAAGAAGGTTTTTTGACCAGGCGGAAGGAGAGGGACAACTGGACAGGAATTTGAGGGAGAACATTAATCTGCGGGACCGATTAGTGGCGCCCAGGAAATATGATATGTCCCCTGTGCGCTGCCCGCTCTGCCGCAAGCAATGTAAAACACCGATCCTGTTGAAATCCATGGGTGTAGTCTGCAATGGGTGCTTCCCCAAATATTGTAATGACTTCTGGGACACCATCTGAGGAAGAAAGAAAGAATGAAAGAAAGAAACAACAACAGCAGCAGAGAAATTACCTGTCTGTGGGTGGTTTGTGATGCCAAAACTTGGAACTTTAATGAGTACGTACTAAATTTAAGTAAACATCTTTTAATTAGCTGTTGCCTATTTATCTCTCACCTGTGTGTGTGTGTGTGTGTCTCTCTCTCTCTCTCTCTCTCTCTCTCTCCCAATGGTAATGCTCGTGCAATAATAAAATCATTGGACTCCCTTGCTTTGTGTTTTAATTGCCCAATTCACTATTCGTCAGGCAAGCAATAGCTATCAACATATATATGGCTCATTTCTAGCGTGATTATGAGAGAACCTCATTTCGCCTCACATTGTGAATTTCAATGCCTAAGAGCAAATCTATTTATTATACATGGTTCATTCCATATGCTTATACTTACTTGTTGTTGGATTAGTTCTAATTTTGTTAGAATCTCGAGTATATTTTGCTTCTGCGGACAAAAGCAATGTTATAATGTTACTGGATGCAACATTCTAGACAATCTTACAATTTGACCCTAGAGACACAGATACTGATTTCTAAATAAATATTTTTTCAGTTCTACCGTAATCATACATAAAAAAGAATCTTCTCTTTCAGATGTCACGATGTCCAATGTCAACTTTTCATTCATTGTAAATAAATATCTCTAAATTCCAATGAAAACTTTTCAATCTCAAGTAAACATAAATTGTTTCAGTCTTCTCTTAAGATTAAAGAGAATTAGAAAAATTTTATTTCTATGCAAAACTCAATTAAAGAGTTTTGTTTCCAAATAATGCATTGCATATGGATTGATACATTAAAGAATACTTTTCTATTGAAATATCTTGATTACGGAATATTCTCTTCCGTCTCTTATGCACTTGAAAGCACGATAAACGGTGGGTATAATTGTTCCATGCTTGGAACACTATGTAGATGATTTTTTAGGAAAGAATATAGTGGAAAATATATATTTAATTTGAAATAATAAAAAAATCATTTGACACATCACAGAGTATAATTTGTTCCCTGGATGTATTCAATGATGTGAGGCTATAGCCGATAACGATTCATCTCTATTTGTATCTGTAATTACCATCATAAAATAATTATCATAATTTTTTTTATCTAGAAACTCTAAATATCAAAATAAAGAAAATTGTAGTTAATGGAAAATAGTACTAATTTTTTGGCACGAATCTATAAATTTTTTCCAAGTTAGAAACTGAAAATAATAATTTCAAAATGTAAACTAATAATTTTAAAGTAGAACATATTTGACTTAGAATTCGTTTTACTACTCCTTCCGTCCTAATTCTTTCTTCCCTGTTTGACTTTTCCCCATTTTTAATTTTTGACTTTGACTTCAAATTTTACTCTCCTTAGAAAAAATTTTTTGAATTTTTTTTACAATCATTCAAAATATAGAGTTAGAAGATAATTGGTGTAAATACATGAGGGTTTTAATGTCATTTGCCATCTTTTTTTTCTAATGAGAAGGTAGTTTTAGGACGGAGAAAAAGGAGAAGTATGAAGAAAGTTTTAGGACGAAAGGAGTAAATACGGAATAAAATTAATGTTCTACTACACAAGCACATCCGTAAAAATCTCTTTCCTTTACTCCTATCAATATACGTAGTATTAATTTTTAGAATTAATTTATTTTGTTTATTATTTTTGAATATGAGTTCTTTTTTTTCATTTTCAAAATGTATTATTAAATTTAAATATTTTCCATGCCAAAAGTGTTGCATACTACTCCAGGCATCTCGCTCCAAGACCAACACCGACAATTGTCGCAAATTATTAGGTACATGCGGCTGTACCGTTTTTTAGGTACAGCCGGCAATTAGATCGACGGAAGAAGGGAGGCACACCAAGGAAGGAGGGACAGCCGCCAAGTTCGTGGATGCAGCGGGAAGTTCGAATGTGGTGGGGGCTGCGTGGAGGAGGCCGGGATTGCGGGGGTGGCTGCTTGGAGGATGTGCGATGAAGGAGATGAGTGGGGAGGATGTTTGGAGAACCCTAACTGGAGAGATCAGAAACGGTGATGTGGTGAGTTGATTGAAGATGAAGATTGTGTAAAATTTGAAGAAAATAAAGAGTAAGCAATACTATTTTATTAGATAATGAGTATCGCTGTGTTTCAAAATGAATATTATCTTATTAGTATATGAGTGTTAAATAAATGTGTGAAAATGAGTTTTACATTAATTTAAAATGAGCACTATTTTATTTTAGAATGAGTACTGTATATTTAAAATGAACGTTTGCATACATCTGAGAATGAGTACTACTTTACTTCAGAATGAGTACTACCCGGATGTACCTAATTCTAGGTACAACCGGTTGTACCATATACACTCTCGACAATTGTTGCATTTGTATCCTCTTGATTTAACAAAAGACCAGCATGCCAATTAAGAGTGGAAAATGGAGCATTTAGCAGCATAGCTTGCCAAACAAATAGATATGGACAGAGATCAAATAAAGAGTAGATTGTCCAACTGTAGAGCAATTGCCATTAAAAATTTTAAGGCCAAAAAATAAAACCGCAGGTTTCTCTGCTGCCAAACACCTATCCACACTCTTTCTTATGCTTGGATAAACCACCTATCTATACATTTTTCAATTGCATAGGTACAGCATTTACCATCACAATCCGAATAAGCCAAGATAAACCCGGACAGGCCACATCTTTCTGCCAAACACCAAGCCATACTCTTAGCCAAAACAAACCCACATGAATACATTTCAGTTTCATGTGAAATGATTAATGTGTTGTCATTCATAGTACTCAACAAACAGTATAATAAGGAATCTATGTTTCTGAGAAAACAAACTGCTGCAATAACTCTTCTAACTGGTAAGTGAGGGAGAAAGGCTGTAATATAATATATGCACAAGTGGGATTGCAAAATGCTCTTTGATATTTTTACCTTTGACATTCTTTACCATCCCTAGAAATGGAGATGTTATGTACAAACTTCAAAAGTTTCATTGTCTTTAACTTGGCAAACATAATGTACTTCCTGAAATGCTAGCAAACAGACATAGATTGGCGGAATAAAAATAGGGTACCCGTTTTAAGTAACTGTTCGAAACCTGTAGCAGCAACTGCTCACGACTAAATTACTGTCAATTTCAGAAGATTATCTACCGCAAGGTTGATCTCTAGATCATTTTCAACTCTAAGTTCATTACCCTACTCGCAGATGGTAGCTGCAACATGTGTATGTAGTATTAATGTCATAAGATCAGCTCACACTCGACACATTTGATCATACGGATTGAATGTTGAAGAATGGCTTTTCCACTGGTTAGAGACAGTTACAAAATGGAAGGGCATTAATGAAGTACATAATAATAGCAATAGTTGGAACATTAATAAAATAGCTAATGAAAGAAATAAAACGTTGAGGTCGTCGTCCTTAATTACTCTACAGTATTATGTAAAGGGATGCAATGGCAAGGGAATATATACCACTATAACATACTGACCATCTCACATACCCAAGATGATAACATAACTTGTAAGCAACTTGCACTAACACCCGTCACATGGGGATGCCTTCACATGTTAAAGTGATGCTTCAATTTAAGAGTTTTGGATTTCATCTTTGAGTTGTGAGGTTGTCTCCATTTAAAGTCAATAACAGGCCAAGAATCATGTGACTGCTATAAAACCTCTTCAAGGAAGAAGGAAGAGAGTGCCCCATCCATGAAATTCAAGGCTTGAGTGGTTCTATATGCATGCATGTATATATATGCAGTCTACGAAACTACATTTCATTCCATAAATGAAAAATCCACAGAGAGAGAGAGAGAGAGTAGCAATAACCATGAGTCTATAACAGGAATGGTTAGAAACAAAAATTACCAAGAAATAGAGGAAACAGTTGCATTGTCTAGACAGAATTTGCACAAACCGTGGCCACCATTTATGGAATTCCTGCTAGTTCAGTCCTAGTCTGAAAATGTGTCATCCACAGCTGAGCGGGATGGAATCTCTATCCAGTATACACCGTTTCCTTCGCAAAAAGGCTTCCAAACTTTATCAAAAAGCTTTGTGACATGATTTTTTACTTCAGAAACTGAAACAAGTTCTTCATCGCATACTCTGCGGTATAGCAGCATGATGAGATCCTTAACTTGCTCGGATGTTAAACTCGGATGGGCATTGACATGTTGCAGAACACGACTAAAAGTTTCTTGCACCCCCTCCCCCTTCGAATAAACCACCAATGCTATTATCAGCATCTCAGTGTCCCAAAAGGGAACGGTATGGTCAAAAACATCCATGTTGTTTAAAATCCAAGTTGAAGCCTCCATCAAGTTGTTCGCCTCCAGCAACGGCACAAGCATACTAGCCCTGTCAAGCCTCTTCTGCTCTTCTGTGAGATGAAGACCAGACATCCGGACAAACACTGGGATGACATGACAAGCACGCAGCTCGAAGAGAACATTCAAAATCAACCCATAAACTGAATGTGTATCAATAGTTTCTGTCAATGTATGGAAACCAAAATCAAGGTAGACTCTGAGGACTTTCAAGATCTCCGTGAATTCAATTGAAGGAGTAATTTCACCTTGAGCCCTAATATGAAAATCGCACTCCAACAGTGTGTTAACCACATCTGAGGCCACCCTCTCAGAATTCGCAGAGTACGCCCCCTCCACCCCGAACATTTCATTCAAACTCGATCTAGAATATATAATGGTCCTTATTCCATGCCCAATCCCATCAATATAAACTTGATTTGCCTGTCCAATGAATTTAATGCCCAAATCCCAATAATGCAAATAGAAAAGGGTGTTATGAAGGAACACAACTTACATTCTGCGGCGGCCGCCGCAGTACTTCCACCGGCGAGTCCAGTTCGCTGCTTGAGGAGGAAGACGAATACAGAGCCATCGTCGTCTTGCCTCTTCTTCAACCCCGAAGAAATCTTATTTCATACTCCGATCGACCCAGATCTTTTTTCTTTCTTTTACGCCTTGTTTGGCAATTACATTAACATTAATTTTTTTTAATCTTACATACTCCCTCCGTCCCCAATTTGATTACAAATTGCGGGTTACGGAGTAAAATTTCCTACTTTTTGAAATCATTTTATTTACAAATTGGTATATCAATAGTTATAAAAATTACATATTAAAAAACTATGTCAAAATTTCTACAAAACAAGAGGTGACAAGAATATTTTATTTTATCAAATACTTGATGGAATCGCGTAAACAAACAAAAGTTATCGAGAGGAGAGAGAAAAAATTGTAATCTATTTAGGGACAGAGGGAGTATTATCTACAAAATACTAAACTTAAACCTTATTATTATTCGATAGCTCTATCAAAATACCAAAACTAGACACTAAACTTGTTGCCAAACAAACCACCAACTCCCCCTCCCCAAAAAAAACACTCTGTACATAAATGAATATCATCATCATCATCATCATCATCATATTCTCCAAAAGAGTGGAAATTGCCCCAGCTATTTTCCCGCCCAATTGCACATGCATTGTGATCCGTAGATTAGCATCAATATCTTGATCAACGGATCCTATTGGTCTTTGAAAATAAATCAATGTTTCCATATATAATTGTGCAATCAACAAATAGTAAGAATAAAAATAACATTTCTATATATAATTGTGCTTTCAATATATAATGATTACCTTATATAGCTTTTGTATAATATTAATTTAAAAAGAGGGGGAAATTTTTTTCCTGCCTAAACGTGAGAGAAAAAAATAGAAAGTTTTTTGTATGTTACTTTATTGCATTTATTCTAAGCATTAATACTAGTAAGTATTACTTAATAAGTACTATATTGTCATTTTTTGTTAGGAGCATATAAAAATATCAAAGTAATATATATAATTATATAGAAAGTCAGTGTACTCGAGTAACATGTGAGTAAGCATTAATAATTGTAAGCATTGATTAAAAAATTTTATGTTTCCATGTTTTTGATTGGGTGAATATAAAAAATATATACTGCTAGGCTGATTATATTTTCTAATCTAAATATAAAAATAAGAAGAAAAAAATTCCAACATCAATAAAGAAATTATTTTTTCTACATATTGGTAAGTATTAATTAAAATCACTACGTTTTCTTTTTTTTGTTGGGATGATAAAAAGTATATTCCATAATTCTACGTTATCATTTTACTAAAAGACTAGCTTAATTAATATTTCTAATCTTAGTAGAAGAATATTGGTAAACATTAATTAATAATTAATATGTTTCCATTTTGGTTGGGAGGATACAAAAAATATAATGGTAAGCATTAACTAAAAATTATTATGTTTCCATTGTTGGCTGAGATGATATAAAAAATATATAGCGTATATCTAAGCTACCATTTTTATAAAAATTCTAGGATGATTATTATTTCTAATCTAAATACGAAAATAAAAATAAAAAATTCCAAAATCAATAAAGAAATAATTCTTTTCATGCATATTGGTAAGAATTAATTAAGAGTGATAAGAGTTTATCATGTCCCAGTCCATGTTACCTAAATCCTTGGAGATAATTTTTCATGATTCAGATGTTAATTGTTTCATTAAAATTAATTTAAAATATGTATGCATTCACAACTTTGCAATGATGCTAATATGTACTTTTTTCATTTGTACTGCCAGAGAGATCAAATATATACGTAGATCAGGTGTTTGAATAAACACATTTTCAAAGATAAATTGAAAGAAGATAGTGTTTATTTACGGATGAGAGTCAAAGTACGACGCAATTACCAAACAATGAAAACTACCAACTAGCCTTTCATTCTTCAATTCTTTGACAGGACGAAACTTCAAGAGATTTTGTGAAACGAATTCTCAAACTTTTGTTACAAATTTATGGGATTTGAAAAAATTCACATATTGACTTTTGGTAACAATGTGATGTTAATTGATAAGCCCCACTTTGATTATTATTATTATTATTATTATTATTTAATTTTCTTACTCATATTTATAATGTGTGTGTGTGTGTGTGTCTTTTATGTCGGTAGTTTGGGTACTTGCAAATGTAATTAGAAAAATTGTTAGTCTAAACTTACCAAAACCTGTGTGGTAAAATAGGCACCAAAGCATATTACGGAAGTTACATTGGAGGACCATAAGTATTTGAAAGTTTATATTCTAAAAATTATGAATTTTTTTTGATTAAAAAATAATTACCTGAATAATTGCCTCTTTTTTTCTTAAAAAATTATACTACGTATAATGCATTCGAATAATCATGAATTGCCTATTTCAAAATTTGTAAACCAATTATATTTTGTGCCTTAAAAATAATAAAATCTCTTTATTTCATTATATATCAATTTGTATATTTCAAATATCATGTTAATATAATTAACATAAATATGAACCGTGCAACGCACCGGTGAGATACTAGTCACCGTAAAAAATAAATGTACATCCAATTTATTATAGATGTGCATTACCTTTTTTTTATAAATACGAACGTGATACAGAGTATAAATTACTTCCTTCGTCTGGAAAAGGTCTCCCCAAATACATTTTTTTTTATTTCATTTTTTCATTTGATAAATTTTTAATTGTCTTTTAACTTTCCTTAAAAATTGTCAAAACTCAACTTGGGAGATCTTTACTCAAATTTTTATTTGGACTGAAGGAGTATTTACTTACTCCGTCTCACAAAACATGTTATGTTTTGACTTTTGGAAGAGGAAGACGTACAATTTTGAGTTATGTGCATTTTTTTACGAACAATTATGAAATGTAAGTGAAAAATATTTTGTTGGCGCACTCAATGAATTTTTTTGAAATGGTTAAATAACGTTCTTTTTTGTATTTTGTTGGGTTACAACTAAAACTATTTTTTATTGAGGAATTTTCGTAAATAGCATTAAAACATAATGACTTTCTCTAAATAGCACTACATGTGTTTTTCTTCCCAATGTAGCACTTTTAGTCATTATCCATTAGTCATTATTCAAGTAAATGTTTGCCATTAGAGGTCATTATGGACATTATTAAGTGCTATTTACGGAATAAAACAATTTAAGTACTACTTAGAGAAATGACTTAGGTTTTAGTGTTATTTAGTGCAAATATTTCTTTTTTATTTCTCAGTTATTGCGTTTAAAAATGTTTTTTTACTGATTTATTTGAATAGGTTTTTAAGTACCTTTTCCACTCTATGGACTTTAAAAAAAGTATGTAGTTCTTACTCAAGCGTTTAAATATTTAATGTTAAATTTAAACCTAAATTATACTAGGAGTACAACGTACACAAATAGACAAATGAAATAGCAATTGGGTTGCTTTTGAGACAAACCGTTGATGTCATATATCATGTGATGGATATCAAGCCTAGCAGATTAGAAGGATCGACCCAACATGCTTTTTGGAACGTTTGGGCAATTCAAGCCCAACGAGATGTTAATGTTTCAGCGTAGATAAAGATCAGGCCAACAAAGGGTACAATTATGGAGCAGGGCCTAGGCCAAAATCAATCAAAGACTGGAGCGATCAATCTCACTGGTCGTGAATAATTGATGGCCGATTTCCCGTCCACAATTGACGTACGTTAGACAAATCATGGCGAGAAAAATGGACCCGATTACATGGCGTATTCGTTGTAGTATGGAGACTGTAAATAACGGGTAAAACCTTCATTGCAACTCAAGCTAAAGCAAGTAATATTGAGATCCTAGTTTTTGAAAGTTAATTGTCAATCTTGTCTTCGTTCTTCGTACCTCCATAGTTGATGATCTTGAAGAGCTTGGGCATTCGCCGGATCAGTAGAAAATTGAGCCAAACTAGGTGGGAACATTTGGGGTAGGTGTGTTTCTCCTGACATGGGTAGCGAGTTCTGGAACATCATCGTCGTTGCCGGCATCGGTGAAGGGGTTGACCTGATATGCATCGTCGCCAGTGATCCTTCAGAATTAAAGTTCTTCTATGTAGTCTTAGGGGCTGTTTGTTTCAGCCTCTTAATGGTTGAGATGTCTGAATGATTCAGCACTTAATAGTTCAGACTGTTTGTTTCAGCCTCTTAATGGTTCAAATGTCTGAATGGTTAAGAGATTTGCCTCTGAATGATTAAGTATTATACAGAGTTTGGATGGTTAAGAGCTCTTATCTGAATTGATCAGATATTTGCCTCTGAATAGTTAAGCAATATACTAGCTCTTAATGGTTCAGACCTCTTACTCGTCCAGCATTTAATGGTTCAGACCTCTTATTGGTTCAGCACTTACCTATTCAGAAGTTACCAAACAGTCCCTTAATATTCATCATTTTAATCAGGATATTTATGTTTTTAATCATGGCTCAAAAATCACATCATAACATTTCATAACAAATAGAGCCTAGCATCAATTAAGTGTTAACACCCTAGCTTACTATCATACATCACACAAGGTTCTGGTGTTATACCCGAGACCCGGGATCTTATCGAATAGCTATTTTGTGGCGGATTTGCGGAAGGAAATGGATGATGGAATTGAAGGGGTGAAATATGGAGTGTGGGAAAGAGTTCTTTTTGGTTTTTTTTAATTAATGAAGATAGAATAGAATGGGGTTTAGGAAGAGAAAATGGAGAGGAATGAAATGGGCAGAAAAGTGAAGGGATAAACCAAGTTGGTGTTAAGAGATATGACACACTTTTATCTTAACTTGGGGCTTTTATCTTCTTTTACACATTAATAATCACTACTAATGTATAAAATTAAACTCCTAACACGCACTCAAAAGTAGCCAACTTTAGAGATATTTCATTAGGAAATTTGGTTAAAATAGCATCACACTATTTTAAAGAATTACTCAAAGAGTAAAACAAAGGCTTTTAATTCAATAATCTGGGTTATATTACAATGGCTCATGGCTGAAGTATTTATACAACAACAAATAAGGAAAAATACAAGAACAATGAAGGAAGAATACAACAAGGAAGTTTCACTTCTTTCCTACAAATCAATGCTTAATGCCCATCCATGTGAGTTGATTTTCCATGATGCTTCTCCTGATTTTGAGCTGATCTTCTTTGGGTTTCTTTGGGTAGAAATTTCGTGCATATAAGGAAGAAAACAAAGGGGAATCAAGCTTTAGACTTTTGTGAATAAGATGCCAAAACAGCACTATTCATTCAATGATTTTGTTTCTGATTTTTGTTCCTTTGTTGTGTGTGGGTATTTAGGCCTGATTTTGGGAAGAAAATAGTAGGAAATTTCGTGGGAAAGGTGTAGGAAAATAAGGGGAAGGTCTTATTTAATGAAAGGAACAAAAGAAATAGAAAACAACACAAAAGATTTGTCTTTTTGGTCATCATTTTTGTCCAAGGCTAAGAGGAGGGTAAAGACTTTATTTTGATTATCAAATTAAGATAAAAGACTTTTGGATATTTTGGGAGAGGTTGGAATTTTTGGTGGAGCCATCCAGGGGTACATCACCGGGGGTTTATCAAAATATTATATTTAGTTTGGAAATGATACTCATAATGATTTATAGTTGTATAGTATCAAAAATAGGATTTTAAAGATCAAAAATCAGGTTTGTAAAAAATCACGTGTTATGGTATATATCTTGGTACCGGTGCACGGTACCTCAGTACCGTCAAAAGGTATGACATACCGCTTGGTGTCAGATACCACCAGGGAAATTTGGCTTGTGATGGTTCTTTTCTACCGTTACTGACAGTCATGTGGACTACCGTTCAAGCGGTACTTTGCTACTGTTTGGGCGGTAGCTTGATACCATGTCTACGCTAGGTTTGAACAGTGTTATCTTCAATTCCGGGCCAATTTTTGAAAACTTCATTTTTAGTCATCAAACTTCAATTAAACTTTATAGAAATCTTCTTCAAGTTCATAGACCACTTTGGTATCATTAATTCAATGATTTAACAATAATTTCAAGGTTTATGATTTTTTATTTTTCAAGCATGTCAAACACAAAACTCAACCAAACAATCATTTATATTTATAAATGTTCAAACGATCTATATGAACATTTTAATCATTAGATATAATTAACTAAGAGTTTACCTTGACTAAATTGGAGATTTTGGGAAAATTCTGACGAAATTTTCGGTGACAAGTACTACCAATCTCACACTCTCCAGAAAGCATCTCTACATTCTCCACACCTAGAGGAACAGAATAGAAGAAGGAATAAAAATGGTGCAGGAAGCGTGATTGGCATAGTTTACACATCCTCCCTGATTTATGGATTCCTTTTGGAAATGAGTCATTGGTGCAGTTGTGTGGTTATATATAAATAAAGTTATACTACCTCCGTCCCACTGTCTTTGTCCACTTTTGACTTTTGGAACTGTTAATCTAAGCACTTTGACTCATCAAATTCTCTCAATGTGTAAGCCTAAAAATAGTCATGTGTGATCTTATTTGATTCGTCTTAACATATAGATTATTAATATATAATTTCTATAAATTTTTAATATACAAATTACAAGATAAAATGGATTAAAGAAGTGCATTGGATGATGTGCCAAAAGGTAAGTGGACAAAGACAGTGGGACGGATGGAGTATATAAATAAAATTGCATATCTAAATAAATGTATTAATATTAAATTTATGTCATAACAAATACCGAGCATGTTTATTTCATATTTTGTGGTCAAATTAAACAATAAAAAAATTACGGGAGGATTTAATTATCCTGTTCGAACTAAAACTGTACTGTAAAACTATTAGAATCTGATTACCACCCGTACAAGGAATCTTTCTCCTACGGAATTGATTAATTAATTACTCCGTATTAATTAATCACTCATCGTTTGGTATAGTATTACTAGGAGTCTTTGTGCATGCATATATTATCACATTTACGTACTGAATACTGATCCACCATTACGTACATAACAAACTCTCCCGAATTAATCGGAGCAATCGGATGTCGTCGCCGGCGGCGGCAACACCCGCGGACGACGAAGGAGGTCACGGCGGCAGAGCTCACTCGGCGATGAAGGCGGTGGTGTTCGCCATCATGGCGGGGGGAATCCTGTGGACGGTTGTAGCGGGGTACGCACGGCGGACGCCGGCGGGAGTGGCGGCGCCGGAGGGAGAAGAGGATACGATCCTGAAGTGGGGACGCCGCGTTTTCACGGCGGCGTTGCTGGTTCCGTGCGCGGCGCTGTTGCTGGTGATGTCCCTCCTGAACTGCGTCAACGCCGCCGTGCCTCCTCCGGTCCGGGTCCGGTTGGAGAAAGTACTGTTCAGTGACGTCAGCAACAGACCACGAGAACAAGAATCGTTGTGGTCCCCATTAGTAACCGTTTAATTAATTAAACTTTCTACCTGTAATTTTGATAGGTACATTATTAAAATCGATATAAATGTATAAAGTGATTTACACTTGCATATACTCAAATTAATTCTTCAGAATGACTTTTGTTGTCAAATTTTTAAATTTTGATCACATATTACGAAAAAATATATATTAAATTTAATATAAATGTGATATCAATAAAATATACGGAGTAAATTTTAAATATTTTATACTCTCACCGTCTTCAAAAGATTGCTACAATGTTTTTTTAGTTAAACTGTGATACTCCCTCCATCCTATAATGATCTTCCCGATTCATTTTATGAAGTTTGACCGACTTTATTTTCAATTCAATTTATTTGATTGTAGGTGTAAAATTAAAAAATAAAATTTATATTTTGAAAAACTACATCAAAAGTTCTACAAAACAAGTGGTGACAAGACTATTTTATTTTATCAAATACCAAATGAAAATAGGTAAAGAAAGTGATTAAGTTTGACCAGGTAAAAAGTGTGTGGGAAGAACATTATAGGACGGAAGGAGTACTTTTTTACTACTCTTTCCGTCCCAATTTAAATCGCATATTTTGATTTTTAGGCATATTTAAGGAAAATAAAAAATAGAGTTGATTTTCTAAAATTGTCATTACTTTTTAGAAGAGGTGATGATGAATGAGAAGATAAGGTGAAAAATAGTGACTTATTTTAGGGATAGTTTAGGTATTTTGTTTTTAAATATTTATGAGAACAACTAACATGTAACTTATTTTAGGACGAAGAAAAAAGACAAACAGACAATTTAAAATGAGACGGAAAGAGTATGAATTAAATAACTGAGAATGATTAAATATTATAAAAATTTGATATTTCTAAACTATATTTTAAAACAACCCTAAATTTACTCAATTTTACTCAAATTAACTTTTCCATTCACGATTTGACTTTTGTAATCAAATTTTTTAAACTTTGATTGCATATTATAAAAAACACTAAAATTTTTATATAAATTTGAAATCAAATTTGAAACATAGTTTTAATACTCCCTCCGTCCCAGAGTATTCGTCCAGTTTTGACTTTTGCAACTGTTCATTTAAGTACTTTGACTCATCAAATTTTCTTAATGTGTAAGCCTAAATATAAAAGTCATGTGTGATCTTATTTGATTTGTCTTAGCATATATTAGGTAGATTATTAATATATAATTTTTATACTCCCTCTGTCCTAAAACTTTCTTCCCACTTCTCCTTTTTCTCCGTCCTAAAACTACCTTCCCATTAGAAAAAAAAGATGACAAATGACATTAATACCCTAATGTATTTACACCAATTATCTTCTAACTCTATATTTTGAATGATTGCAAAAAAAAATTTCAAAAAATCTTTTTTAAGGAGGGTAAAATTTGAAGTCAAAGCCAAAAATTAAAAATGAGAAAAAGTCAAACTGGGAAGAAAGAATTAGGACGGAAGGAGTAATTTTTTAATATACTCCGTACAAATTATAAGATAAAATGGATTAAAGAAGTATATTGGATAATGTGTAAAAATTAAAATGGACAAATACTCAAACGAAAGTAGTATTTTTTTAAAATATAAATGAAGATATTTATGACCAAAACGTTAAATTAAAAACTGTAACAAGTTAAATGAAAAATTAATTTTAAGGCAGAATAAATCAATGACCATGGTACAAGTCCAAAAACATATGTGGAAAGAGTTAGTACGTTCTAAAAAATGAACATGACACTTGTACTCTCATGTTAACATAAATCAATGACCAAAACACATAGTATACAGTACAATGCCACCAGCTCGCCATTCTAGGTGACAACATTATTTTTAACCCCGAGGATGACACCAAGGTTACACCGCAGAAAATCACGCGTGAGAAATTGCAGGCAGTGTCAACCTTAGTGTGATTGTAAGATGACCCTTCCGTTAACATCTTTGTATACACCAAAGAGAACTAAACCTATGATTCTTTTATAAAAAGACCAGTGTGTGGGGGATTTGTTGTGTATATATCTACTTGCTAAACCTCCCTTCTCTCCTGCTGCGCGATTGAAGCTCCCACGAGTGCTTTCCCGTGGGCCCATCGCCTTCGTGTCTTGACACTATTTTAAGAGGGTGGGCTTCTGTGTTGAAAACCCATTGGTCCAGTGGAATCACAGAGGGCGGCGAGAAGAGAAGGTAGAGATACTTGAGTGTCTCTGCCAGGAAGAAGCTCTGCATCATGTTGTCTTTGACACCGGTGTTAACCTGTGAAAAAGGGACATTGTTTGACAACGTTTAGTAGGCGAGAATTGACAAGTTTCCATTTTTGACCCCCCTTAGCAAAGGGCAAAGGGCAATTGGTTAGCAAAAAAAAGAGCATGTGTTGGCTAAAATACTCTGTTTTGAGAAAAAAAACTTCCTTGCTAACCAAACAAGAAGAAAATATTCTCTACATCTTTTTCTTTTCTCTCCAAATTACTTGAACCAAACATAGTTTTAAAAAACAAAAAAGAAAAGTGTGAAGGTTATTTTGGGAAAATGGGGAGCAAATCTTACATCTTTTAGTCCGACGTATCCAGACTCAATGCGAGAGTTCTTTTCAAATGCTTGAAATATGTTCCAACCCCATTCTTGGTACGTTTTGTTGCCGGTTAAACGCCAGAGATAAAAGAGTGACTCCACAGTTTCAGGCCTCAGTATGTTCCAAGATGTCCCCACACTCATATCCTTATGATAATAATAATAATAAATGAAAATAAAATCAAATCCTCTGAAACTGCTTATGCTTTAAAGATAAGAACTAAGTGATACATGTTTGCCATTAATCTGACCTGCCCTTCATGAAAAAAGTAGTTCTCTCCGGCCAATTTTGTGGGTGTTGACTGGTAGAAGTTATAGCAAGTCCAAGCAAGCTGCAAAATAATGCAAATGGTTAAAATAGTCATGCAGCTTTATGTAAGTCATGTGAAAAGACGGTTCAGGCCCTGTGAAGTCTATAGTTTTTAATGTGTCCTTTTAATTTCGTTCATTATGTGTCCAAAGCTAAAACATTTTCAATGGCCACTCCTATACCAATCAACAGTATATATGTACCTCTTCTGCCAAGGACATGAACTTATGTGATTCTGCAGGACCATAACCAGAAGCCCCTAAGGCTAGCATGCCTGGAGCAAAGCATGCAAGTTCATCCATCTGCATGAAAATTTGAGAAGCAGAAGAAAGAAAATTAACTTTGAGCAGGGGTAATGATAGGAAAGAAAAAGAAGTAAGACGAGTGGCAAGATCAATAAATCACCTTGTCGGAGAAAGAGCTTCCCATCTTCTCACACAGATATGTAAAAGATGAAGGAGTAGTCTTTCGAACCAAGCTCAGAAGACCATTCATTGAAGTCTCCCACATTTTCCTGTTTCCAAGATTCAATTGACAGACTAATGAACTCGATGCAGATTGTCATATCGCATGACCAAAAGCCATTTACTAGTCACTATAAATTAAGTTTCAGTTTTGCACAAAAGTAGATTAATAAATCACATCCGGTAATCACGGAATGGCCTTAGTTTAGGTCCAGTTTTATCATAAGATACTATTTTGACACTCAGGTAAAGCAAGAAAAGATTGAAAGTGTTTACAAAGATCTTCACTTTCATAATATGCCCTTTTTTTAGGTAGAATATCATTTAGGCTTTTCAAGAGGGGCAATTGAGGAAGAAAAAATAAAATGTATATCGAAAATACAAAAATGACTTATATTTTAGGACATCGCTAACATGCCTTATAAATAGGAGTGGATGAAGGGTCAAATACGGAGTACTATTTTTGCTTTCATATTGTTAATTTCTTCCTACTCCATTGAACCAGAAGTAATATTTTCTTAACCACCTCCATTGTCCTTCCCTCATTTCTCTCCCCCTCCTCCGCTCTTTTGAATCAAATAAGGGTTTAAGAATTGGAGGTGGCCCTATGGGTATGGAGAAGAAAACAAAAGCCATCATGATATGAGATGGGATTGTTAGCCCATTGCGTACATTTTTCCTTCACGGAATTGTTTAGTTTATAGGATTGGAATTTAATGAGTGTCCCAAATTAAATCCCTCAAGAAAAGGCATATAGTAAGAGAAATTGTGCACCTGTAATGCCTTACGGATTCCGTTTTGTTTCCTTGAACCCAAACCTTGAGTAAGTATTCGTAAAAGCTGAAATAAAATGTCCATTAGATATCAAGTAAAAAAGAAACAAATGATGTGCCATTTTTGTGAAGCTTCAATTAAATTACTGAGAGTACAGATTATATCAACATGGGACATGATAACCAAATTAAGGAGTTTTACAAATAAAATATGCAGTCTGCAATATTTGTTTGCTTATCACGAATAATTAACTATAACCGTAGAAAAGATTCAAAGGATTGGAATCAGATTAAATCAAAGCCTAATACAAGTAAATGTGTGTTTACATAACATACACTAAACATTTTTTAGAGAAAATACCTGTCCCCCATTGCCCCAAAAGTAATGGTTGAGTATGATTTGGACCCTGTACGTGGATTAATGTAGATTGGAAGCAAACCATCATCAGGAAAGGTTTTATTAAGCTCCAAAATAACATTTTCCACCTGAAATACCAAGAGAGCCATTAGTCATCTCCAAAAGATTTATACTAGCAGACTAGCAGTGATCATAGCAGTTGTAGTAGCTTCATATCTGGATTTATGATTATCTAAGTTACTTTGCATTACTCTTTGGTGAGACAATGTGGAAACAAGAAGCCCTTATTTGGTTGGAGGGCTTGAGAGAGAAGGGAAGGAAAGTGGAAGACATATACACTTCTCCAAACTTTTCACATGACAGTTCCCCCATTTGATGTATTTCAAAAATTGTTCTAGATAATTTGATAATTGTTATACACATTAATTACTTAATTTTTACATTTAAATTTAATAAAAAATATACCACGCCAAATCTTTAATTTTAACAGAAAATAAACCACACAAAATGGAGTTTTAATTTTCTATTTTTTCAAAAATTATAACTACTTGAATCAAATGTGACATCTTTTAAAATTCTTCCATTTTCATCTGCTCCATTAATGATCTCCTCCCCTCCCCTCTTTAGAACCAAAGGCTAGCCGTTCAACCGGGCATACCTTCTGTTGATACTTGGGGTCTCCTGTTCTTTGAGAAAGAGCAATAAATTCAACCTGCTCAGTGCCAGAATCTGCCAGAATACTATCACCCTGAAGGCAGAGAGCGTTACAAAGTCAATATAACTCATTGAAATATTACAACAAAAGGTGCCGAAAGAATAATAACAAATATAAATGTGAATATTGGACCACTTACTCCTGCCCATCCAGGATTGTGTGGATTCCCATGTGCCAAGTTGATTATGTTATAAGGGATTCCAGTGGGCGTGTTCCATGCAGGCAACAGTCTGTCAGCAATATCTCTAGCCTTTTCAAGGAAAAGTTTATCCCCTGATAGGTCATATGCACTAAGAAGTCCACCTACGACTCTGCATTTTTGTAACATGCCAAATCAATAACCATAACATCGGTCATATTTAAACATACAGAAAAAACCAGAAATGACTTAATGCTCTGGGCGATAAGGAATGTAAAACAACTCTTATTCAGACATAGTAAACCTTATAAAGCAACCTTATGGTTGTCTCAAAAACACTTGCGTCGTAGTTCTTGTTAAAATCCAAGGAGCTTGCCACCCACCTATCACGTACACATGGAATATCATGAAAAGACAAGACGATGGACATTAAAAGTCCAGGAATTGTTTATATAAGAATATCTCATCCGGGAATTGATTCCCTTTGCAAAATGATAGATGTAACGCTGCAAATATCTCATCAAGAGAAAGGGTAACAATCAATTCGCATAGATGGGATGTGAGAAACATAAAAGAAGGGGAAAAAAGAGCAAAACTCACCCTCTAGCCTTTTGAAATTCCTCATCCAGACCCATGATATAAAGTGTATCAAGAGAATCTATTAAAGTTGCACCAAGGCCACCAAAGCTGTTAACACCATTCTTTGATTGAGGCTGGGATGCACAAAATAAGTAGTAAACAATAAATTGATTAGAAGCTTGTTAAATATTTCAGCAATTGTAGCAACAGACAGGAAATGGTTGTTTTGTTCCTGTTGGAACCCTCAAAAGAAGAGGATCCACAAAAAGGTCAGATAGAACCAACAGAAGCTTCTCAGAAACTACACGATGTGTGTGAATACACATATTGCACATTTTTTAATGAATAAATGCCACTCAACAGATACCACACCTGAAGCTCATCATGACCCCATGCATATTTTACATATGAACCCCATGCATGTCGCATTGCATCTTTTACTTTCTCTCTTCTCTGAGCGTCAAGTGGGTCATCTAAGACTTCTTTTTCCTTGGCAGCTTTATTAAATTTTTCATCTGGAACTACTCGCCCACTTTTTAGCTCTTCGACCTGGATGGATGGCGATGTCAGGATGTATTTTGCAAATACTGATGAAATCAAAGGGGATGGGAGTTCAAAGTTCGAACGTGCCCCCAAAATATATAATCTCAATGCTGCACACTTAACCGCTTACCAAATGTTGTAACTTGCTTAATTCATCATTCAACTTAGAGATCTCCACCTGTGAATTGTGACAACATGTGTAAGAGATTCTTCCTAAATTAAAAGACACAAACTTGCAGCACTCATTAACTCAAGAAAGTTTGAAATAAAACAGAGAACACCTAAAAAAAAACATGTATATGAGCAAAAACCAAATAAATATGTGCAGTCAGCCAATTAAATTGCATCAGTCTACCACTATTGAAGGATAGAGTTTGACATTGAAAAAAACATAGATATGTCAGACCCTAGGATCCTAATGCAGCAGATCACTCTCACTGAGTTAAGAAAACTAAAAAAGGTAGAATCTTTGCGCATCCCAGAAAGCTATAAACACTGTTGTACCAAAAGAAACCTAGTTAAAACTAGGAAATCCAAACAAAGAGAAGAAAGAAAAGAAGTACCTCGTGCTCGCGAACTAATGTTTGTCGATCCCAGAAGAAGAACGAGCAACAGACGAAGACAATAAAGAGCAGAGCCAGACGTCTCGGGCGTTTGAGATAGTAGGCCGGGTTCAAGTACCTCAATTTACTGGACGACGATCTGGTCCGCGCCATTTGAATCTACCGAAGGCGAAGAACACGAGCTAATCCCTGGACCGTCGTAATTTGGGGAGCTTTAAAAGAGAGTGAAACCAGTTAAAGATTTTGGATCCATTGAAGGAGGAGGGAGATCTGAGTGCGATCCCTACGTCTCTCCCGTTTCTCCTGTGGTCAGCAGACGGTTCTGGCGTTCTGATCTCTGAGCACCAATGGGTATATAAATGTAGAAGAAGAAACCAGTAAGAAGAAGAAGAAGAAGGAGACCGTAATCGCAAAGTCAAGAGAATAGCGCAGTTGGGGCAGGGCGGCGTTGCTAAGCCTCAACATTCAGCAGCGGCAGAAGAAAGGCGTCCCGTCCCCCACTTCTATGTTCACACATGTCATTAGATTGGAACCATTTCTACACCAGCCAAACAGGACACTAATGGTGTATGATCACAGTCACAGATAATGTTGCTCAATGTTGGATTTACTTTATTGGCCAGCACATGAAATCATACAGAGTAATGGAGTATTTGAAAGTCCACGAAATAAGAACGAATTTAAGGATCATAAAAAATTTTGACTATAAAAATTTGATATTTCATGACTATGTTTCCAAATAAATTACTTGATATTAAATTTAGAGTATTTCTATAATTGGTCCTTTATAACAGGTGAGTTTCCCTATTTTGTCTTTTATTATCAAATATTATCACAATGGTCCTTCTTTTATGGGTACCTTTCCATAAATAGTCCTTTTTTTATCTTCTATCATGTTGGTGTTAATTTGAGGGCTAAAAGTGTAATTTCACAATGATAATATATCTTTTTGTCATACACAATTCCAAAAGCTGTTCCGTTTGCGTCGTTTGTGAATTACAGTCGCTTTTTACGATAACGATAGTCTACAAATGTGATCTTTCATCAGAATCCTAACACACAATCATAGTCAATATTTTTGTGTTATCCGCTTAACCAATATCAGAACACGTCACTAGACATAATGTTGATGTCAAATTATACTTTTAGTCTTTAAATTAACACCAACACGACAGAAGATCAAAAAATGGACCATTTGTAAAAAGGTGCCCTTAAAAAAAGGACTACGGGGTAATATTTGATAATAAAGCACTAAATATGGAAACTCACATGTTATAAAGGACCGATTATGGAATTTACTCTTAAATTTAAATTATACGGAGTAACTCATTATATATACATTTTTCATAATTTATTGTCAAAGTTAAAAAAAATGTTCAATATAAGAATTTAAACGAGAAAAAACAAATGAAATATCCACGGGGTAGAGTAAAAAAGTATAATTTTAGAATTTAAAAAATATAAAAAAACTAAAATAGGAGTACCAATTCTTTCAATATTAAAATAAGAATATATTGACAATGTCATATAAGAGTATGCGTTGGTAACATGATAGACTAGTAATGACAATGTAATATAGCAGTGTGATCAGTCGATCATCGTCGATCTGTGGTGCCACTCTGGTGGTTGGCGGCGACAGTTGTAGTGTGACAACGTGGTGAATGTAGTAGTGCAACAATGACAGTGTAACTCCTATTTTGATTTTAAAAATTTAAAACTTTTATTTTGATATTTTCATATTTTTTAAATCTTATTTTGAGAGTTCTCCCAAAAAACAAAGTAAACGTAAGGAATATAGATTTTAAAAGTTAATCAAAAGTTTTACAAAATACAAAGTATATTCCATTCGTTCCAAAAAAATACCACAATTATTATTTTGTTCTCTCAATAACTTTTGTTTGTCTACATGTTTTGATTGAATATTTGAAAAAATAGAATATTCTAGTCGCAGCTTATTTTGTAAAACTTTTGATGTACTTATGAACAATGTAAATTTTACTTTTTATATTTTACCAATTTATAAAGAAAATAAATTTAAAAGAAATACTACCTCCGTCCCAGAGTATTTGTCCACTTTCATTTTTACACACCATCCAATACACTTCTTTAATCCATTTTATCTTGTAATTTGTATATTAAAAAATTATAGAAATTATATATTAATAATCTATATGTTAAGACAAATCAAACAAGATCACACATGACTATATTTAGGCTTACACATTGAGAGAACTTGATGAGTCAAAGTGTTTAGATGAACAGTTCCAAAAGTTAAAACTGGACGAATATTCTGAGACGGAAGGAGTAATATTTTACACATCATTCGAAATGCTGCAAACAATTTAATATAGAGGAAATATTGACAAAAGTTATTAAAATAACACATTAAAAGTATATTTCTATGGGAGAAAGACCAAACTAGGCTTAAAACATTGAGAATATATCAAAATAGGACTTCCATGTTTTTATTCTCAAAATAGGACTTACATTACCAAAAATGGATATATATATTACCAAAAAAGTATAGTAATTTGCATATGTACACTACCACATTACCACAATGCAAAGTCACATTACCACAGTGCAAAGTCCTATTCCGGGGAAAGAAACATGAAAGTCCTATTTTAGTACTTTTCTCTATGTTTTAGTCCTATTTAGGATGATTTCTATTTTTCCATACCAATACTTTCGTATGATTTTTATTTTCTAATTCTTTATACTTTTTTTAAACTTCGAAGTACTCCCTCTGTCCCAAATTGTTTACCGCATTTGTATTCCCGAGGCAAAATATCAAGTTTTTTAAATTAATTTTATTTATATATTGGTATATAAATAAAAAATAAAATTTACATATCAAAAAACTACATGAAAAGTTCTTCGAAATAAGATGCGTCAAGAATATTTTATTTTATCAAATAACCAATGAAAACGTCGAAATAAACTAAAGTTCTCGCGATTATTGAAAAAACAAATGTTGTAAACATTTAGGGACGGAGGGTATATAGAAGTATTCAAAATATTTGACACGCATAACTAAACGAAGAGTTAATGTAGATTTTATCCAAAATAAAATTCTCACTCATTGTGTCATTGTTGGGCACCTTGGGACTTGTAGGTGTAGATTCATTTGGCCAACTTCACAGTTCAGACTTCAGACCTGCTGCTTTCTTCATCCATGGAAGCTCTGTCTAGCATCAGTTTCTTACCATCGTTTTCAGAGAAGCCTTGTGTTCTCCAACCTATCAAGACGCACACTGACTGGCATGGCAGCTGGAATCTGAGATCCTGTTCCACTGCAGCGCGCGGCGTCTCCTCTTCGTTCCGCGTCTCTCGAATTGCGGCGCTTCCCGGGGAAGAATCCGCCGGCGGAGACGGAATTAGAGAGGAGCTAATTATCCGTCTGAATAGAGCAAATGGATTCGGATTAGCTTCTGAAGGACCTCCTCATCTGTCTCATGTACTGATTCCACTCATAACTTGTTTTTAATACACAATTTTGCCGCAATTTTTTTTGAATAATTTGTTCTCAGAGTACCGAATCGCTTAAATCTGACGGGAAACAGAAGATAGAAGGAGACGAAGAGAGAAAATCAGAAGTGGTGACGCCATTTGTTGTGTCACATGGAAGCACAAGGGCTGGGCTCTTTAGAACACCAATATCCGGGGGAGTGCAAAGCGCAACTTCTGCTCATGATTTACCTAAACCAGCTTTAGCTGTTAGAAATCTTATGGAGCAGGTGAATTTCTAGCTGGGAGATACTTGATTTGATAAAGTTCAGTGCTTAGTACTTCACAGTTGATATAGTCTCAATTGTTCTGTTTCAATGCTTGTAGGCTAGGTTTGCTCATTTGTGCACAGTCATGTCCCAGATGCATCATAGGCGAGAGGGTTATCCATTCGGTTCACTTGTAGATTTTGCACCAGATGCTATGGGGCGTGAGTTGTTACATTCATGTTTAAGAATCAAGAGTATTCAATACTCCACACATGACTTCGTTCGCCCAAATTAGTTCTTCGTTAAATCATCTATCCGAATTTGAGAACCAGTTACCCCTATAAGGGAAGAGTTGACATGTGGCTGCATACTTGGATATTCCAGCATACTTAGATGTTAAAAAAGTTTTAAGTGTTCTACTACATTTGCTGCAGTGCTTTGATCTAGTTGTTTTGTTTTCTATCTGCAGATCCAATATTTTCATTCTCGCCATTAGCTATTCACACCAGGAATTTGTTAGCTGATCCAAGATGCTCAATGGTTGTCCAGGTTAGTGGCTTCTTATAAAAACACTTGGAGCAAGTTTTGCAAGGCCTAAACTATGGCGGAGTTGGTCGAGTCTCTGGAAATATTGGTTTAAATGATGAAATATGTCGAGTTTCCTAAGATATTTATTAAAATATACTATATACTCCATATGTTCATTTTTGTCTTCCTAGATTCCTGGGTGGAGTGGTTTATCAAATGCAAGGGTAACGATATTAGGTGATGTTTATCCTCTCACAGAAGATCAACAGGTGCTTGCATTCTTCACTCTGAAGTGCAGTAATATATTTTTCTGATTGTATCCCATATGACCACCAGAATTGTAGATGTCTCTATTGATATCCCCTCACTAGATTTCTCTCTTATATCAATGTTTCAAGGAGTGGGCTCATAAACAGTACATAGCAAAGCATCAGCAAGGTCCTTCGCAACAGTGGGGAAACTTTTATTACTTCAGGATGCAAAATATAAGGTTATATGTTTCCTTTAAAACTACTTTCTTGTACTCAACTACTCATCCAAATTAAAAAAAGGTTAGCATTTATTGTCTCTGCAATTTACATCAGCCATTAATAAGTTGATCTACCTTTTCTGGTAATCTTCACATGTATGCCTTCCATTAGAAAATTTAAAATGCTTTCAGGGAAACATCTCTGCATCTCAAGGACTGAGTTTGTTTTTACCTTTGACAGTGACATATACTTCATTGGAGGGTTCGGAACGGTTGCTTGGGTTGATGTGAAGGAATATGAAACCCTAAAGCCCGATAAAATTGCTGTGAATGGTGGTGAACAGAACCTCAAGGTAGGGAGAGAGATTGCACTTTGCAAAAAATGACATCCTTTAACTGTGAAACATGTTCCCATGTACCTATGGTCTATGCAAATTTAGTCTGCTTTTTAGAAAAATAATCCGTAATACTTTTTGCATATATAGAGCAACTCCTGTATTTTGTTTGGCTTTGTCACATTATGAATAATTTATTTTCTACATCACCAAAAACAATCTTCCATCAATCCTTGCTCTATTAACTTTAATTGCATGGGTGATATGTGCTAGTGCTACTCTGATTTGCTTGCCGGTACTTTTGTATTTGCGCAAGTGGTTTCTTGGTAACAACTTCTCTTTCCCAAGTAGGGATAAGGTCTGCCTACATTCACCCACCCCATACCCTACATTTTGTGGTATTTTGCTGGGTTTGTTATTGTTGTTGAATTGCATGTGTGACATGTGTTGCAGGAACTGAACGCCCTCTTTTCGAAACCCCTTAAGGATCTTCTGTCACGAGAAACGGAGGTGGATGATGTCGCTCTGATATCGATAGACAGCAAGGGCACTGACATTCGTGTCCGTCAAGGCGCACAGGTACCCCCTCCCCCACCCCCATCCCCCTCTTATGGAAAATTGATAATTGGACATTTAAAGGTTTGCACCCACACCCCATGGTTTACAGCAACCCAAAGCTGGGCATTTCTATCAGACTGTTCGCCCCATGATTTATCTTAATATTTGCCTTTGCCACCCCACTTCCCACCCTGTCTGGGATGCTTTAGGGTGCATGTTCAAAGAAAATAAAACCCGGAGTTCAAAGATAAACATTTATATTTTCCATGCTTGTATTGATTTCACTCATCTTAGGACCTCAAATCTATCCTTACCTTCCTCCAACTTCCCTGCAGTTCAACATGCAGAGGATATCCTTTGAAGAAGGGCACTCGGTTGAAACCCTAGAAGAAGCCAAATCAGCACTCCGGAAATTGATCAATAGAGGCAAACTCCACAATTTGCACAGATGAAAAATTTCTCTGGATTGGCTGGAGATTGTGAAACTAGGTCTACCAAAAACCATGTAACAGTATTACATGTGAGATTTCGCTTCTGAGCCTATGTAACATTTGAAAAAAAAGGCAGGTGACAAAGAGATGATCTCAATGGAATTGGAGTCTCATTTGCACAGATACTACATTATAATAGAGTTATTAGTGTTAAAAAAACTTGCAGAAACATAGGGTTTGTTTGGGTTTTTGGAATCCGAACGATACAAAAGTGCAACGGAACCCGTGTGCACCCCATATGGTGTGTCAAATGATTCCATGTGAGTCAAGCCGGGTAGGTGGGCTGAGCGGGTCAATGTTCGCGGAAGCTAGTCGGCTAGGTGATGGGCTTCCGTAATCTTGACCCAACCCGGCCCGCTTTAGGCCACAATCATTTCAGTAGAGTATGTGGTGTAGAATATGTAGATCCTTAAGTTTCTATCATTGTATGGTTACTATTCATAATATTTGAATGAGTGTTGCTAAATCCACCCATTTTTTTGTAATATCCATCCCATTTGTTAAAAAGTGACAAATTTATCCTTAAAGTATAAAAACAAGGAAAAACATGTGGGTTAAGGATAAAATTGGACATTTGCCATAAATAGGGTGGATATAACAAAAAGAGGGGTGAATTTAGCAACAGCTTGTTTTAATATGTGGTATATAAACTTAATCAAATCTCAACAATTAATCACTCAATTAGCAACAATCCTATGCGTAAATACAAAATCATTATACATTAGCTTTAGAGAAGGGGGGTTAAATATCTCTGTATCTCTGGACGTCAGTTTTTTATATATTTTATTGTTCAAGTGTTACATAATAGATTTGGTAGAAAAAAAGTTAAATATGATTTGATAGATTTTTGGTTAGTTATCCCAAAAAATCCATATTTAAAAGGACAAAAAATTAACACTTTATTAAAAGGTTTATGCACTAAATTATTCTCAGACTAGCTATGTTGTATGGTGCAGATTGTTCGGCAATTAAAAAACTCATGTTCGTTGATTGCATGTTGCCGAGATGTGGAGGTTAAGGGTTATGGTGCAAGTGTGGAAGATAAGATATGGATATGATACATGATAAGGTTATCGAGGACAAATTAGCATGACATCTATGGAAGATAAGATGTGGGAAGCTAAGTTGAGGTAGTTTAAATATGTGTTGCAGCAGGACGTTGGTGGGTGAGAGTCTAAGAAGTGGTAAGAATTGAAAGAAAGTCATTAGACATTACTTAAGATTTCTTGCCCTTATAAAGGATATGAGTTTAGATAGAAATGTTCGGAAAGCTATGATTAGAATAGTTGGATAGACGTTTTGAGTTAGGTGACAGTTTTTTGTACTTGTGTGCTTTATATATTTGATACTCCTTTTTTACCTTACTTTTTTTTGTTAACATTAGTTTGTTCTTTACCTTTGTGTGTTTTGAGCTCTATCTGTGTTATTTCTACTTTATTATGTATCTCAAAAGATCTTTTATTACTAGGGCAAGGTTCTCATGACATTGGGAGGAACCAATGTCATGGGATGACCCGGGGCACTCCGGTGTCCCGTTCGTAAAATTGACGGTTCCTACTCCCCCTAATTTCCGGTAAACCCCCACCCCGCCCCGACCCAAACACACCTCCCCACACCCCTTTCAATTGCGCCCCACAAATTGATTTTAACTTTAGAGTCAAATTTTGACTCGAAAAATCAAACTGGACAAATACACTGGGACGAATGGAGTATTTTCTTTTCGTTTTCTCTTCCCAAAGAGAAAAGCAACCAAGGATGGTCTCCCTATACGAGTCCAATGAACGAAACCACTAGTGAATTGTCCTGCCTGGCGGCGGCGCGTATACACACGTGTCCTCTGAACCAAAAACCTCCGAACGCAAACACCGCCTTCCCAATCAATCCCATTAATATAACCTGCGCCACAAATCTCATCTCTCCTCAATCCTCATTTGACGTAATTCCCAGATTCAAAAACACCCCAAACAATCAATCGATGGGAAGAATTAGAAACAGAGCGAAGCTGCTTATGATGATTCTGTCTTTTGCCCTCTTATTACTATTTTGCCCTCCGGCCGCCACCGGAGGAGAAGACGGCGCGAGCGCAGCAGTGGTGGAGGCGGCCCGGGAAAGGCGGCACCCCGTCGTAGAGGCGGCCATGGCACTGTTCTCTCTCCCCACCGCCTTCCCCCGCGCCCCTTCTTACTGGCTCAAGCTCTCTTCTTTCTTCAAACAGGGAATGGGTTTCTTCTTCACTGCCCCAGATCTGGAGTAAGTCTGATTCGTCTCCTATGCAATGAGGTTTTTAATTCTTTATTTGGCGAAATGAAAGGATGTGTGTTTGTAAATGCAGCTTCAGGGGAAATGGGGGAGTGCCGAAAGGGGCTGAGGAAGAAGGAACGGCCGGGGAGAAGGTGAAGGAAGCGGTGGTGAAGAGCAAAGCAGCCATGGAGGACTCTGCAAAGTCTGCGGCGAAGTTGGCCGGGGAGGTGGTGGACATGGCCGCCAAGAATTTGAAGATGACACTTTCAAGAACATCATCCCAACAAGACGATGATGATGATGATGAGCTCTGAATCTGTGATATATTTATGTACTTGCCAGATTATACACACTCTTGCTGTAATCCAAGAAAATAAAAATATACAGATTTTTAGCTAAAAATACAAATGTTTCAGCATACACCGTTTACAAAATTGGATTCTTAGACCACACTGGTTTCACAAGAGAAAGAATCATGCTGGCTAACCAAAAACTAAGAAATAAAGACTCAACCTTGCAAAAGAAAAAACTCAGTAATTCTTTGAAATTTTATAATTCAAGAAAGGAGTGTTCCTAGGAGAAATGAATGCCAGCTTTGTTGAACAAAGAAAGCAGGCGAATGAAATCATCTTGAGAGAGTTTGGAAGCCCTTTTTTCTTCAAAATGACCTTCCCTCAACACTGCTAAAACTTTCTGTTTAAATTCTGATGGTTTCTTGGCATGCCCACCATCATCCATGTCCATCTCATCCTCATCCTCATCACCATCACCACCATCATCATCCATGTCCATGTCGCCAAGTGCATCTCCCAAGGCGGATACAGCCAAGGACATGCGTTTGTCGTCGTCATCATCCACGGACGATCCATTCTCAGCGGGCAGCTGCAATGCCTGTAGAGTTTTGTAGTTCTTTTCAAGCATAGAAAGCAGAGTCTTGTGCTTAAAAATGGCACCCAGAGTTTTGTTCTTCCTATTGAAGCAGAGCCTGACCAAACCATCCCACTCCTTGAAGTTTAAGTGCTCGAATGGTTTCATGGGCTCAATTCGGACCACTGAGGAATCAACCTTCGGCGGTGGCCTGAAATTGTTTCTCCCTACCTTCAGGATATGCGACACGCGGGCCAATAACTGAGTGTTGACAGAGAGGCGGCAATACAGGGGATCGCCGGGGCGGGCGACAAGTCTCATCGCGAATTCCCTTTGGAACATAATCACTGCAGCCCTAAACATTGGCCTATGAGACAGTAGCTTGAAGGTGAGAGGGGATGAGATTTGGTACGGAATATTCGCCACACATATGTCGAAGTATGGAAGATCACACTTCAGAACATCCCCTTGTATAATCTAACACCATTAACATGCAAAAACAAAATAATATATCAAATAAGAGTATCAAAAAAAGGAGATTAACTGAGGGATCATATTATCAGAAGCAAATAAGAACAAATGCACAAAATTTTCTTGTACAAACAAATGAAGCAGCAGAAAGCAACAACCCAGTATAATCTCAACTTCATTAGGACTTGGGGGATCAAGATAGAGGCTTTTTCCATTAGACCATAGATGCATTACTGCATTTACTGCCCAAAACTTCAAAGAAAGTTGTAACCAAGAAAATTTTTAATGTTCTATTTTGATGTAGTTGATTATGTGCCTGAAACTAAAACATTGTCAATAATGACAATGGACAGATAGAGATGTCCATTGACTCTTTTAGCATAGGCATTCCATATTTCATACATAGATATGATTATAGATATGTCAATCTTTGGTCTCTTTTGGACCCAAACTAAATGGCAGCATGTCCTAAACTACAGTAACAGTCTCCCCATTCAACTGCTATGACCAGCAGATATACTATCTATCCAATCAAAATTCAATTCCCATTTTTTTTTAAATTCCAAAATTTTGCTTCAAGCTAATCCATACTGAGAGGAAAACTAGCAGTAGAGTTCCTAGCCAAAGAAGAAAGGATGTAAATATAGGAAAACAAGAATTACCTTTAGCTTATTAGATGCAGTTCCTTGAAATCTCCGCTGCAGCTCGAGGACCATACGAGGGTCAAGCTCCACGGCAATGACGGACTTTCCAGCTTCGAGAAGCTTCTTTGTCAAGTTCCCAGTACCCGGACCGATTTCAAGGATGACGTCGGTTGGCTTGATTCCAGATTTCTGGACAATCGTGTCCACCAACAGTGGATTCCTGAGTATGTGCTGTCCTTTTGACTTGTGGAACGGTATTCCGCCCTGAAAATGAGGGTTTGCGCCGCCGGCGGAGCCACGGTGGCTTTGTTTGCGTATCTTCCCTCCGGCCATGGCGGATGCTTGTGGCTGCTTGCTTGCCGGGGATTCTGTTGGGCAATTAGGGTTTACCGGAGAGTATTTCCGGAGCGGCGGCCTCGTCGGAGAAGACGGCGGATCACAGGATGGCGCGGATCGTGTGGCGCTGCAAATAAACGATCAGAGCCCACTGTTATTTCTTCCTCCGGAGTTAATTCGCGTAGGGTTTGTTAAGCCAGAGATGGGCCGGGTCAATTGCCCAACTGAAGGGCCCAATTAGCCCAATAGGGTGGTTTTGGTTTCTAAAAAGGTTTTAGTTTTTACCCAAAATTAAAGACCGAAAGTAGAATGAAAATTTCGGTTAATTCAGTTTGGATTTTTGCGGTTCAAGTTTTGGTTATTCGATTCAATTCGTAATAATTTTCGGTTGTTCGGTCCAATTTGTATTTTTCCATTCGTAATGATTTCAGTTCAACTCGAGCATTTTGTGGCGGTTTTGCTTCTTCACATACAAAAACATCATTTCTTCAAAAATTTAAAAAATTATTTTGAGTGCAAAATTATGCATGTTAGGTGAGTGAAAAGATGAGTCTAATCAGAGATGATATGGCACAAAATTGGCTTGCACATTTATAGTGAGGAGAGTGGAATACTATAGAGAGCCTAACTAAAAACAAAGTCTCCATTAATTAGCTTATTACCGGTCATGGGCATTTAAAAATATTGAAGAATACTAATTATTAAATTAAAAATGAATAGTTAAAATTTACTTAAAAAAAGAGCATTGCAGATCACATTCTTTCCTATATAGAAAAAGAAAGCGAAAAAAAGAGGAAATTATTTTTAGACAAATTAGAAAAACAGACAAAATTTTTAGGAAGTATTACCAAGTTGAAAAACAATAACGCTTTTGATTGACAATAATGTTTTGAATAATTTTTTTAACAGGGCAAATTAATTTTAAAAAACACTAAAATTAAACGATGTTGTTGGATAGCTTTTTCAAAACATAAAAGCTGTTGCAAATTCAGTCCTAAATCTAAAACCAGGCAACCAACTCCTTTATAGATTTACAATAATATTACTACTAAAATAGAATGTAATGTAAAGAAGACAGATACTGCCATAGATGGACCCTTTCTGTATTGCAACTCATAATTCTGCCTCAAAGAAGCAAATAAACAGCAGATCAAAAGTGCGTTTAATGCAAATTCAAAACGGGGCGCGCTCAAAGTGGCGTGAGCGTTTTAACTTAAAGACGATAAAATATACCAAATTTTAAACCTAAAATGATCCCACAAAGCGTGCATATATGTTATCTGTAAAGGGCAGCAAAGCAAAGTCGTTGACATTATTTTCATTCGCCGCTGAAATTTCTTATCTTCCTGCAAATCATCAGACAGTAAGAACAGCATAGTCTCCACACATTTTGCCACTCTGCATTATAATAAATCAAGGAAGATGAAAGCCATTTATAGTCATTGTTTGGTGCATGGGAGTGATTGTGTGTACTAATACTACCAGGTGCAGATAACTTTGTGATCCTTCGTTATTTTGATTTTTTCAAAATCTGGTTTGGAAAATAAAAAAAACATTGCCAAAACTAAAATCAAATTACAAGGTTTTTAAGGTCATGCCATGGATGACACTAGGGTTGACGCTGTTAGTATCTAAGTATAATGACTTCGTATGACTGAATGTGCATGATTACCTCTAATGGTGTCAAGTGTCAACAACCTTCATGTCATCCAAGTATCTCATTTTCAGTTTTCCTTGTTTCTATAATAAGGTTCTATTGTGCTTTTGGTTTGGTTTGATATTGATCAATCTGGTTTGGTTAAAAAAATTACCGAAACGAAAACCAACTTAGACATGATTCAGGTTTGGTTAAGAGTATAGACCTAACCAACATGGCTCCGTAATGGATAAAAGGCGTACCAACCGAATTTCTTACCTGAGGATAGACCTAACCAACATGCCATTTATTTGTACTCAAAAGTGGGAGGGCTAGGAGTATCAAAACTCTCCAAAACAGTTGTCTTGCTCCCATTGTCCGAGCTCGTCTCTGGCTTATTCCCACCACCACCAAACAGCCCTCCAAACCATGACAGAGGTGATGAAGCAGATGATGCTGATGACCCACCACCACCCTCCATGGTCACTGGAGCCTGACCAGGTAGTTGGCCCATAGGAAATCCAGCCATGTTTGGAGGAAGCTGTTCCTCCATGGGAGGTGGAAGATTCTGGGGCACGGTCAGCATCTTGTTTACCATGATCCCACACCCCTCAATCAGAGCAAGTAAGACACCGCCAAGCAGAGCTGACCTGGAAGCAGGGCCCAAACCCTGACGCATCGCAAGGAACCCACCGGTCGCTGCACCAGCAATGATGGAGTTCCATGGATCCTCCTTCGCCCGGACATAAACCATTGTACAGTCAAAGGTGGAAAACAGTCCGCCCCACACTGCGAAACTGCCGCCAACACGTGGAGCATTCATGCGGACCGCTTGGGAGGCCAAGACTAAGCGTTCTCCCTTGGGGGAATTGTATAATCCTTTCAAGAAGTGGAAGGCTGAACCCCCAACAGCACCCATGCCAAATGCTCCACCAATATCATCAAGGATGCGGTCAGGGCACGGTTCACGTGACGTCTCAGGGGTACCCATAATAACAACTACCTAATAATATTGGTAGCCAAAGTTCACCTGCAAAAAAAGTATGTATGTGGTAACTTGAGGTACAACAACAACAACTATGTTGGACCCCACATGCGTTGCGTCTGGGGAGAGTGTGTGTATGCAAACCTTGCCCAACATGGAATTACTTATGGAATGAGTTATATGATCAAAAGTATTTTATATTAAAGCATCAAGGCATTTTAAAGTGCTTATCTGAAATAAATCGCCAATGAAATCCATTACAAAATATATTTTTTTTTTTTGCAAAAGCTTGATGCTAACGCACTTCTTTCATTTACAGAACTTCTTTTAATGTGAAAATACTTTCCTACCTCTAAAATTCACTTGTTTTTTGAAAAGAAGTATCCCCAACTCACTACAAACGAGTGTTTAGATTGTTGGATACACTACTTTCTCAAACTAAGTTTCAGGTATTAGGTTGAATTGATTAAGTGAAAATCTTTCATCCCTCCAATTTTACACATTGCCCCTCTACGAGAGTGTTTTTTTAACATTTAGCTATTTGTCCATTACTTTATTATACATAGCTTTTGCAGTTTTAGTGTTTGGTACGGGAACCTTTCACTTAAATACACACTTTTTCGAGCTTCTAAAACTCATAAGCCAAAAGCAGTGTTATGTGCTGGACTTTCCACTTATTACCTACTTATTTTGAAACAAATTTTACTGTTTGACCTCTTTAAGAAAATTACTTCATTGATTAGGGACAATTATTTCTTTTACTCATAACTCAACTATTTCATCATTTTTGGTTTGCAAACTCATAAATAAATAAGCAGAGAATTATACTTATCTTACTAAAAAAGGAGAAAGCTAAAACCTACTCCTAACAGGTTGCTGGTGTTTCTGATGTTGCACGCTACTAGCCAAGGGGCTGCTAGTTGTAACGCGCAGTGTACTAGTGAATAGGAAAAGCTGATTGAGATTACTAATGACAGATGGAATAGAACATGTTCGGTTCCGTAGACTGCAAATGATGGGAATTCTATCGAGGAGTAAGAGGCATAGGTTTCGCGTTCCTATCTGTCTTCTCTGTCCCCCTTTTCAAAGAAAAAAACTGGCAAACACTACCCACTTATTTTTACTTAAACAATCAATTATTTATCATTTTATCCCACAGAAACAAATTGAGAAACTTAATTTCATGATAATAGAAAATCCAAACCCAGATAAAATGAAAACTGGTTTGAGGAATCTCCAAACCAAACAAATACTACGTAATAAAGACTCAATTGATCTTATGTTTCAACTTTGGTTTATCAGAAGACAACATGGTTTCTTTTTGGAAATCATATTCAATCTTCTTCCAAATTAAACTTTGAGATGTAACACCGCCATTTTTCCCCTTACTCTTTTCAACGTGCTTTATACAAAGATTACAAAGGATGTAAACTGATTCTTTTGGCCAAACTGAGAATACTGAAAAAACAATACATTAATTTCATGCAAATCCAAGAGTACAAATTTATGACCATAAACAAATAAAGCAATAAAGAGCTCAGTTTGCTAAGTTTCTCTTCAACAGACCTCCAAAGGATGCTGTTGAAAATGAAATTAATCCTCAAACTCAGCAGAAGAACAAAAAGCTTACAACGGAAAAAAATTTAAATAGAATGAGCTGGGTTCGTGATAAAAAATTCAGCAAGGAGAGGAATTTCAGATAGAAAAAGAATCAAAGAGACAAACACTCAATTGATAAGAATTACGTGAGAATATGTGCAGCAGATCTCAGATCGAAGAAAGGAATATATTGATGAAGGAGCAGAGTAAAAAACTTAAGTTTTTAAGTTTACTTAAGATCCATTATGTTGGGTTTTAGAAACTTGGGCTGGGTTAGCATCCCAATTTAAAAAGTTGGGTCCAATGAAACAACCTAAGAGCCAAAGCTCTTTATTTGCAAATCACAATGTCACCAATAAATTCATATGACATTTTGCCAATATAGAGAGTAAAATTTCTATAAATTTACAGAACTCATTATCATATTTACTAACACAATTAGATATTCGTTATACACCTATGATAGATATTTGAAGCTATAAAATTGAATGTTAGAAAGATGATAATATCAGTTGTTCACTATAGGATTCTACACTAAAAAAGAGTACTAAAATTCACTACTTCCACCGAAGAGATTCTTGTTGCAATATGAAAGTTAACACAAGAACTTTTAGACGTACAATAATTTCGATGATAGAATTCCGTTAGAATTGACGAAGAAACCACAATATAATTCTCTTTCCAAGAACAACACATAAAAGTGTGTATTTTTAATAAATTGTTAAATGACGAGACATATATAAATATATGTCTTATGAAAATTTCTTAACTAATTTAATGCACGTGCCGAAATTGGGGTCAACTTATTCTATTAATTATGTGTAACTATAAATTAAGCGTGTATAAAATTAACAGGGTTGTACTGTATTTCAATTGTGGAAATACTTCATCTGCTTTTAAAATAAGTTACGCTTTGATTTTACAAAATTGAAAATATATGTTAAAAACTAAAATATATAACTTAAATTTGTTTAGAAGAAATGGAATTGTTGTTAACAACATACTTTTTTAATTAATACTCCTTATGAATTTAGAGAAGTGTGACATTTCTTTTAAGACAACTGAAAAAAAAATGGTAACATTCTAAGGGACATGATATATATACACTCATATTTATTATTATGTGATATACATATACTCCCTGTGTCATATAACAAGCAGTTTGATCTTTACAAATTTTAAGAAAATTGTTAAAAAGTTAAAGGTATGCAATTATAGTTTGTCTAGATACGAGAGAAATTTTGTACGATACATGTTTTTTAAGTGCTCCGAAGTAAGTTTTTTTGGGCTTCCATAAAGAGAAAGTAGAGAGGTATTTGTAGATGGAAATGAATAAAAGTTTGTTCTTTTCAACTAATTTCCAGTTAATTTCAATTCGGATAAGTTAATTTGATTAAGTTTAGTGAAGTTTAATACTTTTCAATTAAAATTACCATTCATGTTCAGATAAATTTGGGTTAATTCAGGAGCAGACCCAAAAGATTAGGGTCTTGGGTTCCTATACATGAAACTATATACTTAGAGGGCGTTTGGTTCATGATGAGGAAAGGGAAAGGAAATAGGAAAGGGAATTAGGGGGAAATGGAATGATTACCCCTGAATTACTCTGTCTATTTGGTCTAGTGCAGGAAAGGGAATAGAATTCCCTTTGTTCGTGTTTGGTTCAAAACAGGGGAATCAATTGAATTCTAAAAAATTTGTAAACAAATGTGTAAAAAATCTGTAAAAAGAACTAGAGGGGTTTCAAGAAACATCTCGTGCTAGTTGCTAACATTCACTACTTCCTAAACAGGGTCTAGTCTCTGAATTCATCAATAATAGGTAGCCAAGAGCTAATACCACCCGCTAAAGGCTAACATAGCTTAAATGCTTACTGCATGTCAAGTATTAACTGACTCTAAGGGCCTATATGTCTTAATCTATCAATGAAATTTGTAAAAAAAAAAAAATTGTAAAAAATCTGTAAAATTTGTATTTAAAAAAAAACATAAAAGAACTTCAATCTCTAAAACAAACCACAACAAAAGAGTTTAGACTTTAGACTCATTCCGTTTCTTTATTCCCTTACCTCCGAACCAAACACCACTTAGAGTTTAGACTTTAGACTCAAGACTCAATGGTACGCCCGTCATGCTACAAGAAGTGATCCATATGATTAAAGTTTACACATAATGTGGAAATTTAGACTTAAATTGATACTAGTAACAAACAATACTCCTAAATTATGCATATAAAATATACTCCCTCCGTCCCAGAATATGTGTACACTTTTATTTTTACACACCATCCAATACACTTCTTTAATCTATTTTATCTTGTAATTTGTATATTAAAAAATTATAGAAATTATATATTAATAATCTATATGTTAAGACAAATCAAACAAGATCACACATGACTATATTTAGGCTTACACATTGAGAGAATTTGATGAGTCAAAATGATTAGATGAACAGTTCCAAAAGTCAAAATTAGACGAATACTCCGGGACGGAGGGAGTATATCTTACAAATGTGAGAATCTGGTTTTCATTTACTGAAAGTGGTCTATAATTACACCATCACTGAAGTGATGGTATCCTGTTTCTTACGAACTCTTTAGAGAAACATGATTCATATGATCTTACTAAGAACGAGGTATGAACTAAAGAATTATTTTGAGTAGACACAACACACCCAAATACGATGAAAATAAATATGCAAGTTTTTAGTCAGCAAAGGACCCAAGATAAGGAAATCTTAAGTTATTGTTAAGATGTTAGGCCCAAAGATTCAATCTCCTCTCCCTAATAAATCAGGAAGCAAACGGCTAAATCCATGGAATGAGCTGATGTAAAACCAGAACCCTTAACAGTTGATTTAATTAACACTTTATTATTAAATATGATTTTTTTCGGTGTGATAAATAAATAAATAAACCTTCCTATGGAAATTAACCTAATCACAAATTCATAGGACACAAACCCTCAAATCCCAAACCGTAATTGATAAATTTCTAAAATTGTGAAACAAAGGCGGATTATTTGGCTAGATACGACAGAATCAAGTGAAAGAAATACATTGAGATGAAGGATGGAGAATTACCTTCCGGCGAGCAGGCGGAGGCGGGCAGTACTGAAGCAGCGTCGTTCGGAACAGGGCAGTACTGAAGCAGCGTCAACGGCGGCGGCTATGACAGATGGCGGCTGCCGGCTGAGTGCGGCTAGCGTGAATTGCGGTACCACGTTAGGCAATTAGGTTTTAAAAACTTGCACAAAAGATTTCTTTCGATGTAAGATATGCATGAACCATATTTTTTTCACTCCCTAATAATTAAATTTAAAATGTATTTGCATTTAAAAATAAAAATTAAAAAAATTATCTAAAATAATCTCAGCTTTATTAGATATTTCAAAATAATTTTACCTTCTTCACTCTGATTAGTAATAATTTCAACTTTATTAAAATTTTTATGGTTTAAGTCGCCAATTAGCTACTACCGCCTAGGTTAATGGAAAAAACATGTTTTGTGTAACAAAATAAAAGTTAAATTATTTTTTATAAATTTCCATTAATTGTTTTTTATTTTCCTTTATTTTTTAAAATGACTTTTTACTTCCCTCTATTCTTTCTTTTTTCAAGATTAGTCTTATATTTTTTCAGTCAACCTTTTTGAACCTTTGAAATATAATTAAATAAAAAATATATTGTATACTACGTATTAATTAGACAAAATAGTATTTTAATAAAGCTATATTACTATTAATATCTAATATTGTTTTTACTTAATTTGGGGTTAAAATTTATCCGAGTACCAATTTTGATCAAATAAGTCAAAAATGAATAAAAACTTCGAGATAGAAGGATTATAAGTTTTACGTAGTACTCTATTTCGAAATGATTGGAGTATATTATAAGTGCAAAACTAGGCAAAAAAATTACATGTCTTATATTCCATTATAACGTGATTATGAACCGTGATATGCACGAGTTTAATTATAATTTATTTTATTTTGAAAGATCCTTTCATGGAAGAAAAACTCTTTCTAAAAGCATTCACAATGACAAGACAATGTTTTACATTGCCTAATCATGTCAGCAAATTCCACTCAAATCATGGTATTCCATGATTATTACACCCCATTTTTCATTCCATGTGCTAGACATGACTTTCTCTTTTTTTTATTTTTTTTAATATTTTTAATATTTGCAAATTTTGAAAAAGAATATTTTTTTAAACAAGTAGACATATTTTAATAATAAAATGGATTTGTAAAATAATTTTTGATAATTAAAAATCATTAAAAAAATGCTAAAATAGACAAAAACAACGAGTTACCACTGTATGTTATGACACTTCACTCATTTGCTACCTGGTGATTAAATTATTTTTCATTCTTTAAAATAATACATGTCATCCTGTGTCATTTTCATTTTTGGATTGCCAGCAATTAACACGGGCCTCTATTGTAAAAATGTGATTTTTACTCGTTACGTCAGCCCTAGAAATATGCCCGTTTTCAAGTGCCTCGCCGCAGTCCCTCCCCTATATAGATGGAGACGTTCTTCCATCATCGTCTCGTCAATCAGATCTCTTAAACCCTCAATCTGCTTCGATCGATATAGTTCTTGATTCGGTGTTCCCGTTTTGCAATCGTGTTCCTCTGAAATCTTTTCGCATCGGAATTCTTCTTCCTCGGGTGATGATAAATTGAATTTTACAGTTATCCCTGTCTGATGCTTCCATCTGCTGACAATTCATCTCAAATCTGACGATGAACATATTTTCCTCTTGTTTTGAGATTCATATTTTTCAGTGATTTGCCTATGATGATAATTCCATGTCTAAAACGCCCAAATTTTTATTTGGAGCCAAATGTTGATAATACATTGAACTAGGACGGTCTGAGGCTTTTTTTTGGTCTTCAATTAATCAATTTCTGATTCTGTTCGCTTATTTTTTTTTAATTTCCTCGATAAATATTGGATTTTTTCTACTTATCTTCACGTTTGTTTCAGTTTTATCCATGAAAGATTTGATCTTTTTAGTTTTGCAGTATAAAATCTGTTTGATTCTTTGAGAAGATTTCTTGAAGGGTGTAGATGATGACATGTTTATGTACTGAGCTGAGAGCTTGTAATTTGTTTATGGGTTCCAGTATCTATATGATTCTCTAGTGAATAGGAAGACCTGATACATCCTCTTGATTAATCTTCTTTTTTTTATAATCCAAAACTTTTTATTTTTTTCTTGGATTTTTTCTTGAATTTTCGAGGTTTATTGAGTGATGAGAATGAGCATAAACCAGTTATCCCTGTCTGATCTTCTGTGATGAATGCTTTTTATCTGACAATTTAAACCTCCGGACTTTTTAATCTTTATTTTCTTTGGTTGCACTTAGAGCACTGGTAATGGGTTTGAAGTCTCGGGGCTTCAAACCTTTTATCTCTGCCATGTTTGAAGTCTTGAGGCTTCAAACTTTCATTTTTTACATTTTTAAATATACATCTTCTAAAATTAAATTAATAAAATGTAATTAATTTATTATTTAATCAAATTGAAACACGAATAATAAAAAAGTACATTAATTAAATAAAAAAATGACAATAATTTTTAAAAAAAATATACATTAATAAAAAAAACTAAGATAAATTATATTTCTCCTTGATTCTTATTTTTTGCTCGTAGATCATTAGTCCAAACTCTGATAACGTTCTGAGGTCGGTTTGCATGACTTTCATCTTGGCCTCTTGCTCCTTTAGCTTCAACTCCTTCTCTTTAGCTTCATCCTCTCTTGTTCCTGGAGATTGAACGCCTGAAATTGTTCAATCATTGCCCGGTCGATTTCGTCGCGTGGAGAAGCGAAAACAGAGGCGGACTCTCTCGAACTGGAGGCAATGGATTTTGCCTTCTTTCTTCCGATCGGTCGTGGAATGGAGTTCTTGTCATCGGAATCCGCAAGGTTGAAGGAAGGAATTTGATCGGTAGAACTGATAGTCTTGTCGACCTCAACCTCGGCGTCGACGGTGGATCTTCTTCGGAACGATCCGCCGTCAGGATTGTTGAGTTGTTGCCACTTCGGGGAACGACTCAAAATCCTCCAAAGATCGATGGGCACCTTGCCTTGGTTCCCGTCGTCTTGATACCGGGTTGTGGCAAGCCGTAAAACATCGGTGTCGTTCATGCCGCTCTTCCGGGACTGGAAGCATTCCTCGTAAACTCCCATAAACTTTCGGACTTTTTTGTTGATGTGGCTCCATTTGGAAGTGAGTTGGTCTCGGGTTCGGTAGGAGTCGTCCTTCTTCATCGCCGTGAAGAACTTCTTCTTGATAATATTCTACATCGCATCCTTCGTTTGCTCCGTACCTTTAAAAATGTATTACACATTTTTTTAGACACCATGAAATATAATATATATAAATAAAAACATCAATATATTAGAAAAAATATGCATTCCTCCTCCGGTGTCCACTTTTGGATTGACCGTGCCGCTTTGGTCAATGTGCATTTGGCTTTGTGTCTCTTCCGGCGTGTACTTTTTTTATTTGGACGGTTCCGGTTGAGTCTCTAGAACCGAATCTCGGTCGACGTACCCCGATTGTTGCGTCTCGTACATCGGCGGTCGATCGCCCAACTCTTGGTAATACCACATTGCGGCGTCGATTGGCGCGAGATTGTCGGGAAAGAAGCCGGAGCCGGAAGGATTCATGTTGAAAATTGGGAGGGGGTAATTTCAAAATTATGGGAAGAAAATTGAAGAAGAGTGAAGAAGGAAGATGTGAGAGATCGGAAGGGAAGGTTTGAATTTATAAGATTTTTTTTTTGAATGGGGGGTGCAACGGCTATATAGTCGTTAAGGGGGGAGGGGAATGGAATGACGCAGCGTCATTCCTTTGATGCACGCCCAATCACGCCCAGAGGGGGGCAGTGTTTCACGCCCCCAGGACGTTAAACGCCCGTTCACGCTGGCGGGCATGAAGCCAATTTCCAATGCTCTTATGAACAATATTTTCCCAAGACTACAAGTCTTATGATGACAAAGTTTCAAGCATTATTTTTGGGCGTTCATGATCTCTATGTGTACTTACCACATCATGCATTCATTCATTAGACAATGCCCAATGGGGCATGTATGTCGAGCATTGTGGGTGGCATATTTCTTTTTAACATCTCCTTGTGTTGCTCTATGCAAATACTCCTTCCGTCCCACTCTCTTTGTCTACTTACCTTTTGACACATATTCAATGCACTTCTATAATTTATTTTATCTTGTAATTTGTATATTAAAAAATTATAGAAATTATATTTTAATAATCTATATGTTAAGACAAATCAAACAAGATCACACATGACTATATTTAGGCTTACACATTGAGAGATTTTGATGAGTCAAAATGCTTAGATGAACAGTTTCAAAAGTCAAAAGTGGACAAAGAGAGTGGGACGGAGGTAGTATTGTTTTGCTATAGAGCATGACGACGTTCTAGCAATTTGATAAAATAAAGTATTGTTGTTACTTTTGACTTTTGAAACTGTTCATCTAAGCACTTTGACTCATCAAAATTTCTCAATGTGTAAGCCTAAATATAGTCATGTGTGATCTTGTTTGATTTGTCTTAACATATAGATTATTAATATATAATTTCTATAATTTTTTAATATATAAATTACAAGATAAAATGGATTAAAGAAGTGTATTGGATGGTGTGCAAAAATGAAAGTGGACAAATACTCTGGGAGGGAGGGAGTAGATCTTTTGATATAGTATTTTGATATGTAATTTTTATTTTTTAACTTTATATTATTTGTCATATAAAATGATTTTAGTCAAACATCGTAAATCAAAACAGGTGTTATAAAATAGGACGGAGGGAGTATAAGATGAGCTACTCATCTCGTATGTGTCACATGTTGTGTTGTAATCTAGTTACCTTATAACCAATTTGCATTTCTATAAAGTTGTAAAACTTTTCTTCATTCTAGCATCCAATTGTAATGTAAAAATGAGAGGCAATGCTAGAGGTACACCAACATGGGATATCCCATATGTACACCAAGCCAACGTATTTGTGTTGATTTGGTGTACACATGGAGTACTTCATGTTGGTATACCTCTAGATTAATTAAAAAATGAGTTTGTGTTTGCTAAATCATCGGCAATATGAAAAAACAATCAACGACTCATACATAAGCGACACCTAAATGGTTTGTTGGTGTAGATGATGTGCTTTACAAAGTAATTGAAAATCAAGTGGTCATGAACATATACAAACCAAAGTTTAATAAAAATAAAATTTGAATAAAATTGCAAAATAATCTTAAAATATAGATATATGTAGTACTCGATATCATCCGTATAAGTGACGATAAGAATGTTTTATTTTATCAAATAATAGATGAAAATACAGAAATTAAAAAGATTTTATGATTTTGAAATAGTGAAAAAAAGATAATTTTGAGACCGAGAAAGTAATATAATATGATGTATAAATTGTTATTTAAAATAATAAATAATGAAAGTGCATGTGGGACTCGTAGAGATGATAAGAATAAAAAATAATTAAGCGTCCATTTGGTATACAGAATTGATGGAATTGAAATTGAAATTGAAATTTCATGGGATTCAATTCCATAGAATTGATTTCATAAATTCCAATTCATTTTTTGTACTATCAAATCCAAATCTACATAATTTTTGTGCTACCAAACACCAGAATTGAAATCTTCAATTCCAATTTCATAATTTGAATTCTGTGTACCAAATGAGCCCTAAATGAATGAATTTTAAAGAAGATGAAGGTCCCGTTTGACATTAGCATTAGAGGTTTGTGTTGGAAATTTGCAAAGATTATCGAACGATAGATATTTAGTATTAACGTTTTCAGAATTAATTTACATTGTTAACATTTTATTCAAAACGGTAACACTTAATAAAATAAGAAAGTAGAACTAGCGCCTTTGAAGTCTCTTTAGAACTTGTGTGATAATGACATAAAAGAAAGTATATTAAACTTAAAACAAAGATGGACAACAAAAAATAAAACTTACATTTAGTACGTACCCAAACTAACTCAGAAGCAGAAACCAAAGTGGAGTAATTTGGTTTGAAATGGGACACTAGATTGCCTTTGCCTATCAGAGGATATCTTAAAGAAAATTGAAAGCAGATTTGGGGAAATGGAAGAGAGTCAAACCAGTCTCGTCTGGTTTCGCGGCTTTTTGCGTAGGAGAGTCACAGAGAGTTTGGCGTTGCGTTTCTGACAATATTCTCTCTGCGCCAAACGGAGCAATCTTCGCGTTTCTACTCTCCATCTCCATCTCTCTCTCTATCGCTCTAACCAGTGCTGGGCAGTCTCTGAACCCACACAAAAGAACAAAAATTCAAAAGAATTCACATGCCCTCCACCCGTTTGCTGGAAAACCAACTTCTTTTGTGTTTTTTTTTTTGTTTTCTAGGGTTTTTGCTCTGATCTGGGTGCCGTTATGTGCTCTGGGTCTTCCTTTTTTACTGCAGAAATACGAGATCTCGGAGGTAAAGGCGTCTTCTTTTTATTCACTGAGATTAGATTAGTTTCTCTTCTTTGTGTGTGGATCTTTTCCCCTTCTTCTTCTTCTTCTTTTTGTATAAAGATTCTTCTTTTCTTGCGTGTTTTGCTCGTTTTATTAAGTTATTATACTGTTTGGAACGTGCAGAGTGTGGAGGCCAGTTGAAGCTCTTTGGGTTTTGAAAGGAGAGATTTGTGTTTGAAATTTTTGAACTTCTGTTTATGATTGGTACTATTAGCTTAAATAAAACCCAGTGTTTTCTTGTTGAACACTGGGTTTGCCAATTTTTTCAAAAATACAGTATCAAATTAGAGAAGAATTGAATTGAGCAGTCATTCTTTGGCGATGGATTTCTTGAAAGCTAAGAAGTTTGGAAGAGGTCGCAAGCAAAATCCAGAAAATGGAGCAGAGGATAAGCCTGTATCTCACCCCAAAGATTCAGATTGTCAGGGAGCGGGTAAGCCCCCCGAAGCAGAAGAAGACGATGATGATTTTATAGCCAATGAAATCAAGAGGAGGCTGAAGGAGCTCCGACAAAACAGTTTCATGGGGTTGATTCCCGAAGAGGTGGCCCCTGAGGAAGAAGAAGAAGAAGATGATGATGAGCAAGAAGATGGGGAGAACAACCTTAATCAATTGAGGGACGTGGAAGCTGAAGGAAGACAGTTTTGGTCTGGATTTGATGCTGTGTATGACAAATACTGTGAACGGATGCTGTTTTATGATCATCTGCGTGATCAGCAACTGCGTGAATTTGGTAATGCTTCTTTGATCTATGAACTCAATAATAGTTTTGGAAAAAGAAAGAAGATCCCGAAGGAAAGTTATTATCTTTTGTTTGATTTTACCTCTAAAAATGCAATTTTTATATTGAGATTGAACCATTGTTTTATCACCCCCCTCATTTCCCCCCCTTTATAAATTCTCTATATGTTCATCTTTATTTCCTTTCCATAGCAATCTAGCATTTTCTGAGTTCAATATGAACCCCCACTCTTTGGGAAAAACTTAAGAAGGTGTGGGAGTTCAAAAATTCCGTCTTCCTTTGAATCTATAGTTTCCATCATCAAACAGTAGGGGAGAAACCCAAAAATGATTTAGAAAATGGAACCTCAGCAATTTTAGAGACATTAAGTACCATTTATCGTACCACTTGACAGATTTGATAATTTGAACATCAGATTACTTCTAACTTATTGTGTAGTGGTATTATTGTAATGTATGGTATTGGATATAATACTCTTGTAAAACTATTTCAGTTTAAGTAATAAAGAAATTTTTTGAAATTGATCTTAGGGTAGCTCAATGTCCATGAAGGGATTTAGGAAATGCTATGAATTTGACATAAATGCCCCTCACAAGTCACAACATAGCGTGTAAGCTGCCTCCCATATTTTCGTGAGGGCTAAACCTTGCATCTCCAAACCTTCTCTGTACATATCCGGATATCCCTTAACCCCACTTGTGGGATTCATTCAGTTTGTTGTTGTTTTAGTGACCAAAATATTTGAAACAATTTGACTTATTTAAAGACACAAGAGGGAGTACTTAATAATATTAGTCATAATCATTTTCATGAAACACAAGAAAATAACTTCCCGTAACATTTTCCCCCTAATGTCTACCCTATTATCTTATAGGATGCATACATATCATATCCTTCATGTGAAAGCTTTCATATTAAAACCATTTGCAGTTTCTCATGTCCCTTCTTCAACTCCATCTCCAAGATCTGCATCCAAAAAGCTTGCATCGCCATTTCGGTGCCTTTCCATGAAGAAAATGGACGAACCTGATGACGAAATTGAGCACCTTCACCAGCCTGGATTCAACCCTTACCATGATCTTGAAACAGCTTATGTAGCTCATTTATGCTTGACATGGGAGGTACTTCATTGCCAGTACACACAGTTGATGCAGAAAATATCCGGCCAGCCTGAGGCTTCCACAATTTACAACCATAGCGCCCAGCAGTTTCAACAATTCTTGGTTTTGTTGCAAAGGTTTATTGAGAATGAACCGTTCGAGCACGGGTCTAGGCCAGAGGTTTATGCCCGTACTAGGAATTCATTGAGTAAACTACTTCAAGTCCCTAAAGTTCAAGGTACAATTCTTTCAACAAGATTCACACATTAAATGCCCATTTGATTTGCATTTCTAGGCTTATCTGGCATATTTTCTTTTTACAAAGTTTGAGAAGATAAACTTGTGTGGCTTTGATAATTATTTGGAAATGAAAGCATCAATATGGACCACCCAATTCTTTCTTTAAAAGGGAAAGTGAAGATTAACTAGATATGACCCATAAAGGAAAAGGGGGATATAGAAACATGACATAGAGATGCCAAGCCTTTTCACTTCTTATGAAATGGGCTCTTAAACATTTTCATTCATTATCTTCAATGGGGATTCGAAGCTCTCAGAAATCATCTTGCGTGTTTTTCTAATGTTCTTGCGCGCATTTCAGGTTCGGATCAGAAGAAGTCAGAAGAGGATGAGATTCTTGTTCTAGCCCCGGATCTAATTAAAATAATTGAAAGTTCAATCCTGGCATTTCGTAAGTTCCTGAAAATGGACAACAGAAAAACTGGCAGTGTTCGTCATCTACTAGGAAGCCAGAACCAACTGGCTACACCCCTTCAACAGATACAATCCTCTCTCGAAAAAGTAAATTATATATTTTTTCTTCGCATCCTATTACATTGTGCTTTTCATAAGAGATTGATGTGATTGTTAAAATATACCACATTGAAAATTTATCCACAAATCATACCCTGTATAAGAGATAAACTACTCCCTTCGTCCTGGACATGAATGAGTGACGAACCCATTTGAAGGACTTATTTGACATCTTAAACTCATTTCTTAAAAATGAGACTTTTAAAATATAAAGTTGACAATTAAATCCCGGGAGGAGGTATTTTCGAACTTTTAACATCTAGGATTTAGGTTGTGTTTGGTTGGAGGGTGGGGGTTGCGTTTTCCCTCCCTCTCCCTTCAATCATCCCCTCCACAAACCAAACACGCCTTTAAGGTTGAGATCATATACCTTTTCTTGTTTGTTGAGCTTATTTAGATTATGCAAAAAAGGATCTTTTGATTGTTCTCCATACACTAATTTCTTACATTCACATCAAATGCAGAAAGCCATGAAACTTAAGGATCTACGCAAGAGAAGAAAGAACACAAAAAACCATTCGTGGCCTTCCACGCCAGGAGATGTTGACCTGTTGCTTGGCCAAATCGATGTCAAAGTGATGGCGAGGGTACTGAGAATGGAAAGAATAAGCAGGGAGCAGTTATTCTGGTGCGAAGAAAAGATGAAAAAGCTAAATGTATTCGACGGGAAGTTCCACAGGGACCCCACAATCATCCTCTTCCCCTGCTAAAGTCGTCACGCTCTTGGGGATGGAACAGATTCAATCTTGACCGTGTACATGTGTATTAACAAGGATTGATAGACTTGTCCGCTCTTAACATTAACTGGTCTTGTTTTATGGGCATTTCTGCTTTTTTTCTTGAGGTAGTTGTCTGCAGATTATAAAGAGACCATCTTTTCAAAAATCTGTGTTTTTTGTCTTCTGAAATTGAGTTGGTGGAGGAATGGAGGATGGAGGTAAATGAAGAACATTTCCCTCCTTTTTTTGAGGAACTCAGATTTGACTCGAATTTGACCACTTAATACTCCCTTTATCCTTAAAAAAAATTACTAACATTTGTATGCCTCGTTTTAAAATAAATTAAAGTTTATAAGAAAGTAGTCGTGTACCAAACATTTGTACACAACCTAAATAAATTAAACTTTTACATTTGTACACAACCAAACATTTGTACACAACCCAAACATTTGTAAATAACTTTAACATCTAGGATTTGTATGCCTCGTTTTAAAATAAATTAAAGTTTATAACAAATGTTAATTTAATCACCCAACCTTTACTATAACGCATGTTGTAGTCGTGTTTGACTTCTAGACTCTGTTGGTTCAAAGAATTTGGAAGGAAAAAAAAGAAAATCATTTTTTCTCATTTTCATCACCCAAATGAAAGGAATCTGGTTTCTTCTCCACTAAGTATATTTTGTTCTCTTATTTTTTTCCTTCCATTTTTCCTTTTTTTTCTCTTTAACCAAATAAAAAAAATTATTTTTTCACTTCTTTTTCATTTCCTTTCCTTTTTAAATTCCTTGAACCAAATACAGTGTTAGTGAAGAGATTGTGAGTATTTATGTTTTTCCTAGCAATCTTTGTTCGTACTAACGACATTTCATATTTTCTATTGTGAGACTTATTGACTTATTTTTTTAAGAAATTGTTCATATCGGGTCTAACTAGAGACCCTAATTAGGATTAATTCTTTTTTTGTCAATAAATTTTAATTAGATACAAAGTAATTTTTACTCTTTTTAATTAGAAAAAAAAGTTATGGCAAGTGTTAGGGATGAATGAAGTAGATGGAAATCCGTCAAATACTTCGTATGTCATTTCTTTGTCTATGTTGTATTCTCGTGGATGAAAATCCTATAATTAGGTGCAAGAGAATGTCATGAATTATTCATTACTTTTTATTTAATTTATTAACTAATTATAGTGTAATTAAGTGCTCTAATTTCATATAAGAGACTTTTCATATACGTTAAGATTGTAATGAATGTAGACGTAATTTTTGTTCACATTCATTCAAATTTAGTATATCTAAAAAATTATAATAAATCGTTTTTTAGGAACTAGAGAAAGTAGTAAATTTTGCGTGTTTAAAAAATATTAACAACTTTGGTTAATTGAACGTCTAATATTTACTTGAATAATGAATTCATATCACCTAATATTTCTCTGTTGCTTAAATAAATTTTAATCACACACCACTTTATTTCGGATTAAAATTATATTTCAAAAATAAACTATTGATATTACAATTATATCAAAACACAATGCTTTTTTTATATTTGGAGGTTAAAATTCACAAACTTTGACATGAACAGTAAAATAAAGACTAATTAATTTAGGATGAAAGGTATAACTTTTTTTTATTTTTAGTATTGTTTGTAACTTTTCTAAAAATTAAATAGATAAGATTTTTCCGATGGAGGACTGGAGGCGTATTTTTTTTAGAAAATCTTCGGAGAACTCTACCTGGAATACATCAAATATACAAAGGCAAAAATAGATACACACGTACACTCAATGTTTATGAATATACTTAATTTCTTGTGTGTCTATTTTTGACTTGGTATACCTAAGCGGGGGTGCTGACAGCACCCTCACCCTTATTTTTTCCCCCATTTATTCTCCGATAGCCCATATAATTTGGAACCCAAGTGTCTCCACATGATAGCTTTTGCAAGTGACATCTGTTTTTCTATATGCCTACTCCTCTTTCTATCCCTCTCTCTGACTCTCCATCTCTCTCATTTCTACTCCTAATAAACAAACAAGAAAGCTCTCACTTTCTCACTCATTTTCCCTTCTGTGTAAAGTCTTGATTATCACCGGCCATCGCAGCAGGGAGCTTCTATCATCTACAGATTTCGTCTAAGGGAAGCCGGCTTTTCTGGTGAGTCTCTGAAACACCATGAAATCAAAGGTTTCTGCAATAAAGATTGTTTCTTTGACTACCCTTTGATCTTGGCGGTTCTTGTTTTGTCCGTTGACTATGTTCTTTTTTGTTCTCTTGTGGCTACTGGTTCTTCATATGAACTCTTGGGGCTTTTTTTTGGCTGTTTATTTCACTGGTTTGATATATTGATATGTCAACACCCATGTTAGTTTCTATTGAGAAATTGATGTTTTTGGGTTTCACACACTTCCCTCTGTTTTATTTATGGGAAGTTTATGTCTTTTGAGTGCTAGCTTCTTGCTGTCTTGACTCAATTTGTTTAATCTAATTTTATGAATTAGGAAAACTGTGGGAAGCTGCACATCAGGGGTGTTTTTGTAATTTTTTGGGTCAGCTATGATGTTATAATTTAGCATTGATGTTTCCTGCTTTGGAGTTTTTGCTGGCAAATTAGGCATCCAACACCAACATTTCCTCATGTTTTTCCGCTTCCTTTGTTGGGAAGAAACTGGAAAAAGTAGTGTTTCTACACTTTTTGGCAAATTCACTTTTTGGACTTGGCAACTAAAGATTATGTCATTTGCTTAGTTTTCCAAAAGCAGAATTTTATTTCCACTTCCACTGTCCTTTAGGGATGATTGGAGGGGAGGGTGGAGGAATTAATTAATTTATTATTATATACTCTGTATTTGAGATTTTATAATGAAGGAATGATATAATATGCGATCATATTATTATGGAATGATAGGTGATCACATAATTTTCAACCATTCTTTATTATACATATATTTTGAAATATTTTACTTTTCAAGATATATACAATGGCCCCAAAACTCTCCTTAGGTCCCCAAAACTTTGTAGATTCTTAATTTCCTGACCCACCCCTATAAAAAATGTGGAACTTCAACACTGCCTTTTCTTAAGGTAAGTGTGGAGCTTAGCTCAACCCTAAGAGTTGGTGTGTTTCTCAAATAATCTTTCATCAAGAGGTTAATTCATAATACTTATTGCTACTCTCTTCAACACCCTTTGCAAAAAAAAAAATTGTCTTGTTAACTCAATTGTTTTTTTTCCTATGCAGACCAACTGGTGACCTGATGTAAAGGTTAGATTGATATTTCCTGAGGTACAGATTCATATTCTTTTGATCAGCACAATGGCAACTGAGAACCCAATGAGAATGGTTGAAAGTAGGAGACCTGGGCAGTGGGGTTCTTCTAACGATGAGCTGGGACTGTTCCTAAAAGGGCATCATAATAAAGTCCCACACCGAAGTGGTAGTGCTCCTCCAAGTATGGAAGGTTCATTCACGGCATTTGGGAGCCTCACATTCCAGAAAACTGGGAGTTGGGATTTGGGTCCCACAAACTCATTAGACACAGCTCTGTTGAACTGCCCATCTGAGGAACAAATACGGGCCCTCCCGTCATATTTTGCATACTACTCTTCAAATGTTAACTTGAATCCACGGCTTCCTCCCCCTATTATCTCAAGGGAAAACAAGCACCATCTTTCTCGCCGTGTGGGATCCACTACGAACGATGGTTGCAAATTCACTGCTTCAGGTGACAGTGGAGGTAGTAGACATGTGGCCTTTCCCAGAGGCTCTCTTTCTACTCATATCGAAGAGCCTGATGATGAAAGTTCTACACAATCTGCATCAGATAGATCAGCACGAAATATAACTACCGAATTGACTGGACCAAAATTAGATGCTTTGACCGGTCACCGTAAAAGTTTGGTTGGTTTAATTCAGGTATCAAACACTGTAAATCTATCCTACTATTAAAATAAGTTCTGCTTTTGTATCTCCTAAGAACTCTAATTAGCTATGGCTTGATGTTATCCTTAGACAACGATAGACCGTAATGCAATGCCTTCAGATACAGAGTATATTTTTAGCATAAATTTACATTACATATGAATTTGATAAAATTGTTTTCATTATATTATGTTCCATTACGGCTTACCAAAATACCAAATGATACCTTAGTTTCTTATAGAATATAGACAATGGCTACTCAATTGATTTGCATTTGATCTTGCACATGGAATTCATAATGTTTGTTGTTGTGTGTGTGTGTGTGTCTGTTAATTGGATATGTAAGACTAACAAGTACTCATGCCAGTCATATAACATATCCCTCCCTCCCAACAAAAATAAGCCATGTTTGGTCTAATTGTGACGCTTCACTTGTAGTGTGTGTATGTCATTATGTTGCTTCCTTTTATTCTTGTCAACTTATTTTGATTTTATTCCTTTGTTCTCTTTTGAGCCAAGGGTCTATTGGAAACAACCTCTCTACCCTTCATGGCTAGAGGTAAGGGATGCATACATCCTACCCTGAACTGTCCCCGTACCTCACTTGCAGGTTTATATTTGGTCTGTTGTTGTTTGGTCTAATCACAATTTTTAAAATTTTGGCAAGTACAGCTCTTTTAAAAGTCTTGGAATCTTACATATATTTTTGAATCTTTGCTAGCTTTTGAAACAACCATAATGTATGATGCAGAAAACCTTACCTTGCAATTGAAAAAAATAAAGTCTGCATACAACACTAGAACACGTGACCTCAAGGTTACCCGGAAACACCTCTGTTGGTGTTCTAAGGATCCCCATTTAGGGGAGGGAAAAGATAATACAGAGAGTATATTTGAAGCATTTACCTCTCTTTTTTTGCTGCTCCCTTTTCACATAATTATCTTCTTCCGTGCTAAGTTGAGTTCTTTTTTGCAGATGAAAGAGTTACATGTCTACCTTATTTTATATATTATATGTATATAGTGGGTGGGAAGATGAGAGGAATGAATGAAAAAAATGGTATGGGGAGCTTTAGATCTCATTTTATTTCTAAGGTTTCTTTTTGTTTTTTTACTTGGAAAATGGAACCATGGCTAAGATACTGCAGGTTGTGTTCTCATGGGTCTTTTGGAAACAACATCTCTACCTTTATTGGTAGGGGTACACCCACTCACCCAGTTTCCCTGGACCCCACTCACTGGATTGATGTCGTCATTGTTTCAATCATTTTCGTCTACATGTAATTTGTGTTGATTCATCGGAATATTTACATTTTTCCCGATTTTTATAGATTATTTTTTTTAACTTTTTATCATAGGACAACTTCCAAGGCACTCCATCGCCGCTTTATAGTCAGTCCTGTGTTGCTTTTGAGGAACCAACTGAATGCAATGTTCATTCACTTGGCCTGGAAAATCTATCTCTTGAAGCTTTACCTAAACACAACGCTCATTCATTAAGCAAACTAGGTTCTAGAGAAGAAGACAATGAGGTTTTCCAGAAACCCGCAATGGCAGAATCCACCAAGGAAGACACTAGTTCCAGTTTCCAAAATAAAACTGTGCCACATCATCTTCACTCTCAACGGAACATACCTCACCAAGTCACTGGCCTACAAGTGCAAATACCATCTCATGGTTTGGACCAAGGACAATTTCACCCTCATCTTCCAGAACCTTCCGGACTGGCACCGCCACCATTGTATGCTGCAGCTGCTGCTTATATGGCTCCGGGAAGTCCGTTTTATGCCAACTTGAACTCATCCGGACTATACTTTCCTCAATATAGCATGAGTGGTTATGCTTCTATGGGCTCCCCATTTTTTCCTCCCCAGTATTCATCTCATAATAATATTCTTCCTATCCAGTTTGATGCCATTTCAGGACAAAACCTTAGCAGTCAAACTGGGGACATTCCACACCTGGGGCACCATGGATTAATGATGCACCCTTCCTTGCCTGATCATTTCGGGTAAGTTTTGATCCTGAAAATGATAGGGAGGGGGGGGGGGGACTAAGGAACATAATTTCCTTAGCTTGTTTTTACATCAAAAAGAAAAAATTGATTTTGTTTTACTCTTTTTGAAAATATTTAGACTTTGTATTTATATAATAATACATATAAATGAAATAATTTTAGTACGAACAAATACCCATTTCTCCCCTATATTCTGTGTTCCAAACAGACCCTTGCAGATGCAGTACTTTCAACAACATCCTGTTGAGGATGCATTCAGTGATCCATCTGTTGCATCTTACTTTGGTGATCAAACATTTCTGCCACAAAATCAGAGGAAAATAGGAGTGCCTAATAATGGTCACTATGGAAGTCCAACTGCTGTGGGGTACGTGCCACAGTTTCCATTGTCTCCTTTGGACAGTCCTGGCCTGCCAGGTTCCCCTATAGGAGGGGCATACCCTTTTGGGAGGCGAAGTGGCATAAGATTTTCACAAGCATCTAGCAAAAATGTTGGAGTTTATCCTGCTTGGCAAGTGGAAAGAGACAACTTCATGGAACCTAAAAAGCCCTCATTGCTTGATGAATTAAAAGCAAATAGTGGGAGGAAAATTGACATCTCTGATATTGCAGGACGTATTGTTGAGTTCAGGTGATAATCTATTTTAAACTTATTTGCCACAGTTCTCTAAGGCCGTAAGAGTATGTTTTGAGCTCAGAAAATGGTAAAGAAAGTAAAAACATGTAACAGAGGAAAATGATTTTTTATAAAAATGTTTTGCATTTTTTAGCAATTACAAAGAAAACTTAAATTTTGATTAGACATTATTAAAATTTTAAATATATCTAGAGTTTTTTTTTTAAATCTTTAAACAGCTGAAGTATACACATAGAATGCGTTGGAACGGATATCTAAAATTGATACGTTGAGTTTGAACCATTCTTTTTAATTCCTCCTGCATTTTATTTTCTTCCAAATTTCTTCTTCTCCATTTTCTTCATTTTCTTTCCTTATCATTTATGAGTTACAAACAGGTCCCTTGGGTGTGTTTGGACTTCGAAAATTCTAGAAAATGAAAAAAATTTGCTAAAAGATGTCATTTTTCTCTCGATGTTTGGTTTTACAGTGGTACTCCCTCCGTTCCTAAATGATTTACACACTTTACTATTCAAAAATCGCGGGAACTTTTATTTATTCGTGTGTTTTCTTTGACTATTTGATGAAATAAAATATTCTTGTCTCATCTTGTTTTGTAGAACTTTGATGTACTTTTTAAATATGTAAATTTTATTTTTTATTTATATACCAATCTTTAAATAAAATGAATTGAAAAAATTTGGGATTTTACTTCGTTTTGCATAAAGAATAAATGATTTAGGGACGGAGGGAGTAGTTGTCAAGGAAAATGATACTCCCTATATGAACATGTTTATATCTTTTTTTAGCTTTTTATAATTTATTTAATAAACACAAATAAAAAAACTGAACATAAAGTCATTAACTAATATTTAAAATGAATTATTGAGTTTTAACCATTAACTCATCTTTTCTTTTTTTTTTTCCAATCTCTGAACAATCCCTAAGATGACTGCTATTCTATTCTACTCTGGGTAAATCAGTCTGAAAACAATCCTAACACTAAATTGATAACCCATAGCGTTGATCAACATGGAAGCCGGTTCATACAGCAGAAGTTGGAGAACTGTAGTGATGAAGAGAAAGCTTCTGTTTTTGCAGAAGTACTTCCACATGCCTCAAAGCTAATGACTGATGTCTTTGGGAACTATGTTATTCAGAAGGTAGGCTTCGGTATCAGTTCTAACTTCTAAGCATAATTTTTTTTCAAGATCAACATCTCAAATAATGCATATAACTGGTTCTCATATGCATTAATATTGTTTTAGTTCTTCGAGCATGGGAGTCGAGATCAAAGAAAGGAGCTGGCTTGTCAATTAACAGGAAAGATGCTACCTTTAAGTTTGCAAATGTATGGTTGCCGTGTTATCCAAAAGGTATTTGAATAGACTAATTTGGTTTATCATTTATTCATTTTTGCCCTTTGATTAGCATACATGTTCTTTCTTAATCGTCAATACGTTCATTGCCAATGGAGCTAAAAGAGGCATGATAATGTTATAACTTTTGGTAAATAATGACCCCAATCAGGATGGCACGTTAATTTTTTTTTAGCTTCTTAATTTTCCTACGAAGTTTTTGGTAGTAAATGCATCAAGGGTCTAGCTTTATAAGCATTTCATTTATAAAAGTACGTACCCTTCCACTTAAGTTGTTCTTGGATATTTGCAATAGGCACTTGAAGTGATTGAACCTGATCAGAAGAGAGAACTAGTGCATGAACTTGATGGACATGTGATGACATGCGTACGAGATCAAAATGGGAATCACGTCATACAGAAATGCATCGAATCCGTTCCAACAGAAAGTATTGAGTTTATAATATCTGCTTTCCAAGGCCAAGTTGCCACTCTCTCTACCCATCCTTATGGTTGTCGAGTGATTCAGGTACGTTTTACACTCCCCTGTATAATCCATTATTCCATCTTTGGCATGCCCCACAAAGATTAGTCTAGCTTCTATATTGAGCAACATGAACACATCACTAGTGCCTCATTTTATTCGTACCCCTAAATTCTGATTCATAATTAATGTGATTGCGGGGCATATATGTAAAACTTTGTAATTTTTAGTGCTTTTGCTATATTAACTACAAAGTATCATTTCTTAATTCTCGTGCAAAAAGTTTGGAGTTCGAATCTCACACTATCCCTATCATATTCGTATTCCATCATTCTGATTGGTCGATTTGTTAAACCTAATTGCATGTAAACAATATCAACCGATCGGAATGAGTGGCACATCACAAAAACGATTGAGCCATTAAAATCCCACAAAAAGTAGGGTTTGGAGAGGGTGCATGTACCCAAACCTTACCCCTACTTGGCATGTCTCTAAAACATTATAAAGTGGAACGGAAGATTGCTATTCAGAAAAGATACTGAACTGCCTTTGTGGGATGGCTGGAATATTATTTATCATATTTAATTTCTCTTATTTGCAATTTCTGAAGAGAGTGTTGGAGCATTGTTCAGATGACTTACAAAGTCAATGTATAGTGGATGAAATATTGGAATCAGCTTATATTCTTGCCCAGGATCAGTATGGCAACTATGTGACCCAGGTACGTGTTGAAAAGATGTTTATTAGTGAGCAGTTAGAATGTGTTAAAAAGTGAGACAAGTATTTGGACCACATATTCTTTTCTTAAAAATGGAAAGAGAAAAAAATGAGAAAATGTTGGAATGATGAAAAAAAGTAGAAAAAAATTTATGGGACGGGAGGAGTAATTGGTTTCGACCCACAAGCCTATTTGGGTTCAAATATTAAACTTCATTTGCATACCAATGAGCTAAAATAATCAATATTGAAAATGTTTTAGCTCAGGGTAAATAATGGACTAAATCAAAATGACCCTTTGAACTTCCTTTACTTTTTTACTCTCTATGATGTTTTGGGCAGTAAATGCAACAACACATTCTGTTCTTTTTACCGTGGCAAGATCATAAGACTGCTTATATCTCGACCCATAGACCCCTACAGAGTTGGGATTACACTGGTTGTGTTGACTTTTGCGTATCATTTTAAATTTTATTTTAATTTTTTTAATAATCCCAGCAAGTGAGTAATTCCCCCTCGGGTGGTGAAATACTGAAATATGCATAATTTCTCGATGTGGGATAGTACTAACATTATTTCAACATTAAACTGACTCTATGGTGCATGACTGTACTACAAACAGCATGTTTTGGAAAGGGGAAAACCACACGAAAGAAGGCGGATTGTTGAAAAATTGTCTGGGAAAGTTGTGCAGTTGAGTCAACATAAATATGCATCAAATGTTGTAGAGAAGTGTTTGGTGCATGGTGATGCTGCTGATCAGGAGCTTTTGATTGGCGAGATTCTTGCACAGTCCGACGGGAATGACAGTCTGGTAGTAAGAGACTTGTACCCCTCTCTATCTTTTCTACAAGTGTGTGTGAGCTTCTTTATCTTTTAGTGGACTTGGTGGCTCCCTTGTTAGTGGCTCTAGCACTGCTCATATCGTTTTAGATAGGGTAAGGTTCTGCGTACAGCCACACGGGTACACTCCCTGGGCCCCACTTGTTGGACCTTACTAGGTTTTTTCTGTGTGCCTGTGATTTCCTGCTTGATGTGTATTGAATTGTTTCAACTTTCTGGATGTAGATGATGATGAAGGATCAGTTTGCAAATTATGTAGTTCAAAAGATTCTTGAGATCAGCAATGGTGAACAGTGCCGGGTTTTACTGAATCGAATCAAGCTTCATCTCCCTGCTTTGAGGAAATACACCTATGGGAAACATATAGTTGCTAGATTTGAACAGCTTTCCGGTGGTGAACGTAAGCCATTTCTTCCACAACTGTTTCTTTTTCTNGGCCCCACTTGTTGGACCTTACTAGGTTTTTTCTGTGTGCCTGTGATTTCCTGCTTGATGTGTATTGAATTGTTTCAACTTTCTGGATGTAGATGATGATGAAGGATCAGTTTGCAAATTATGTAGTTCAAAAGATTCTTGAGATCAGCAATGGTGAACAGTGCCGGGTTTTACTGAATCGAATCAAGCTTCATCTCCCTGCTTTGAGGAAATACACCTATGGGAAACATATAGTTGCTAGATTTGAACAGCTTTCCGGTGGTGAACGTAAGCCATTTCTTCCACAACTGTTTCTTTTTCTGTATCTGCAAACTACTGGAAATTGAAAGAAAAAAACATGAATTTGGTAAGAGTTATTTGGCCGAAATGACGGAATCTCTTGAATTCTTTTTAAAGTGAAAAGCATTTCGCAACTTCTTAAGAAAATTCAGCTGTTTTTACCCCCCATTTAAGCAAATTCAGTCGTTTTAGACCGGTCTTATCAAACAAGGCCTAATCATTGAAATCACTCATGGGTATGTTATCATCTCTTAATCTCTCATGCAGAAGAATAAAACTCATGAATGGGAGTAGGATTCTTTAAGCTGTGCTTGGTTCCTTCAAGCTATATGATTTGGAGGCAAGTAATACCCTTTTTATGTAGTAATTGTCAGCCAGCTATAGGCTCTCTGTATCTGTTGTTCTTAACACTGTAAAAGTTATATATTCATGTTGTAGTTTCTGTAGTCAGTATAATTCATAGAAGTTGAAGTGAGTGTGTTGTAGAGGAAAAATAAATGCTCATATTTCGTTCTAAATTAGTCACAAATAATGTGTGCATATTTATCCTAGCTTACATGACTTAGAAAACTTGTACTCTCTCCGTCTTAGTAGAAAACTTTGCCCAGTTTGACTTCCACTGAATTTCGCTGTATTTAAGTAAAGTTTACGCAGTCAGTATCGCATACCAGCTCAAAATGCACAGTTAAAAAGGGATTATTATGAGGTGTGCTGCTTCTTCTTCTTCTGAGGGAGAAGTAAATCTTTCCAGGCTTCATAGAACATCCAGGTGATGCCTGAAGAAGGCATGACTTTCAAGGAGCTTGCTCTCCACCCCCTGAAAAGCCCAACAACTCCTTCCTCCCTCATTATTTCTGACAGTGCAGCCACCATGTGCGGCGGCGGTGGGCATTTCCCTTGCAGCACTCCGACCATCAGCCGCTTCCTTGCCACCTCCAATGGATAACTGATCGTGCTTGCAGTTAAACCTGTTGAGGAAGTTGATAAAGCTAAGTATATGTACTGTCGGGTAAAATCAAATTACAGAGAGAGCATGCCCAAAAACTACTAGCAGAAATCAAATTACAAGATCCTATACCAGAGAGAGCTCCAAAAACAAGCATCTCGGCTCGGCTTAAGGAGTCCTTGTTTTTGGCCCGGCAATATGATGTCTTCATGGTCTCATACATGAAATAGTAGCAGGTGCTATAAGGGAGCATCCCAATTAAGGTAGGTGCAATGCCAGCATATAGGGCTCTCATCCCCCCATCCTTGTACATCTTGTGCACAGCAATGCTCAGGCTAGGGTATGTTTCAGGACTTACAGTTAAGCGGTCCTGTAGGTGTAGTAGGATACAGTCATCCCAATGGCCTTTTTTTGTTGTCAATTGTACAGATAGCAGTGACCCTTTTTCAAAACCAAATGTAGTAACTAGTAAGCAGAGCTAAAAGTATATGTCTAATTTTCTGTTTTTCTGTTTTCCAACTTCATCTTTTTTAAAATTTAGAAAGGAAAAATATCCCTGGATTTTTCAAAAGACCAAGGAGTCGTTTGGTAAGTCTTATAGATATGAGTTCTCATATCGGGAGATATCAAAACCCTTTTGTTGGTTCTTGGTGAAGCTTAAACAGGGTTTAGATTTGATAATCACGAAATCACAACTTAAAAACTGTGATTTTGATATCTCCCTCAACCACCACCGACCGCCACCAGCCACTCATTTTGTGTCACAAACAACCAACATTTTATATATTTTTCAAACATTAACATTTCAGATTTCACAACTCGTCATCTTGGCTCTCCAAAATCACCAAACGGGCCCCAAAGAACATCTTTTTTAAATGTTTTTGTGTGTGATAATAAGCAAATGCACTTCTCAAACTAGTTTACTTCTATCTGTTTTTTAGAGTGAAAAGAAAAAAAAATCCATACCTTTAACACTTCCAGTGGGTGGCACACGAGGGTGCTCACAATTCCAGCAGCGGCGCCTCCAGCAGCAATGGGAGAGATCCATGTAAAAGGAAGATTGAACTTAACAGTGCCAATCTCTAGTTCTGGACCACCGGAGAGAGCCCACCTCTCTTGAGCCAAGCTCATTGCTCGCTTGACACACTCAAACATCCCGAGCTCAATGGCTTGTGTTGGAACTATGCGGACCATGTTGATTGTGTTTCCAGCCCATAGTCCCATCCAACCTCTCTCCTCTACCACTTGCATAAAACTGCCACATATGTGTTTTGATCCGACCCCAACCACCATCCTCGTCCTATGTTTCGAGTGTGGTGAAATTAGACGGAAAAGAACCATACATATGTGTTTCAAGTTCTAGTTGGATCAAACTCATGGAGTGGGATGGGATAACCTTTTCCCCTTCCCTGTCCCCATTTCCTATCCCACTCCCCAGATTATGTCACCTCACAAACCCATCCTTGAGAAATGGGGGATAGGGAGCATATATATAGGTTAGGGCGAATTTGTGTTAAGTAAGAGGTGTGAGTAGGGAGTTGGGAAAGTAAAAGGGGGTACATATCCGCTCCCCAAACTCAAAGGAGATCAAGGAATCCCGTGTGATTGATAAGCACTACTAAGAACAAAGAGAATTTTTTTAAGGCATGTCATATAAAACCCGCTTTACCATATGAATCTCAATGTTGGACAACGAAAGAAGATTTAGATAAAGAAGATGAATGTGACGGAGATACGTGTTGCAATGGATGTGTGGTAATACTAGGAAAAACATAGAGCGCACATTTAGGAAATTTAACAGAAGGTGACCACAGCTTTGATTTTGATACATCAATCATCAAGAAGGTGTGTGCCCGTACAAGGAGTGGAATCCTGGAATGTGGGAACTTAAAGAGGAACATGAACATTAGATGGTGTAGACCTGAGATGTGTTGAAGGTGTAATGAGGAACATGAACAATAGATGGTGCACAATATCAAAGAATGCAAATAGTGTATTTCAGTTTGAATTGGGGTTGAACCATTCTGTTTAGTTGTCCAAGAGATAGATTTAATGAAAAAGATGAGAGAAAATGAGAGGACGCACCTAATGGTTTCAAGAGGAGCAAGAACAAATTTAGTCATAGCCCCTGCCATAGCCCCACTAAAAAACTCTGAAACCTCTCTACTGCTCATAAAATCCTGAAAAAAAATCACAAACCCATATATAATTGTCAAGGTCTATAAACAAGATTCTAAAAACCGAAAAACAAATGTTGAATTTTTGTTTGTTTTTTGCTTTTTTTGCAGTTTTCAAAAGAATAGATTAAATTGAGCTAGGACTAAAACATAGTCAATTTTTTTTTCAAGTAGGACTATAAGTTTTTTATTTCGCAAAGATTAATCATTAAATAGAATTGTAAATGTACCGAATTGTCTTTGCCCTTCTATCATCTCCAATGGATCTAAAGATTCACATTTTTTTAGGCGTTGGGTATGATGTGGAATAACACAAAGTGACTTTTTTAAATGTTTGTAGTTCTTCCAATAGTGAAGTACGGAGTAGCAGTTAGTTGATAGTTGATTTTTCAGTTCAGTTATTTTGAATTTTCGAGAATTTCGGAGATCGATTTGGTACTAGCTCACTCCTAGTAACAACAAGTTATGAATTAAGGTTATACTCCCTCTGTCTCTGAAACTTTTCCTCTTACTTTTCATCTTTCCTAAAAAAATCTTTCTACCTTTTCTATTAAAAGTCAGATTTCCTCTTACTAATTTTTACCATAGTCATCGCATCATATTTTTTCATTAATAATCTACTCCGTACATCACAACATACTTTATACATATCACATCCAAATTATTTATGGAAAGTCAATACAAAAATATCTCTTTTTAAATTTATATTAAAACTCAAAAGAGAGATTTTAAGCAACTGAGGGAGTATTAATTAAGGAAATTGTAATAATTTTAAGAAATGAATACTACGGAAACCCTAATCCACAGGAAATTTCTTAGCAAGCAGAGAAATAAGGAAATGCTGCTACTCACCTGGAAAACGTTGGGGAGTGTGAGATGGAGAAAATGGTCTTTACTGCCCTGGCCATCATGGAACTCTCGCCGGCCCACAGGAGGGCAAAAACGGAATCCTATCGCCTGCGATTCCATTTTCAATTTGAATTTTAAAACAAAACGAAATGAATTCCCAACAAAATTTTGGTACACAGAATTAACAGAATTGGAATTGAATTGAGAGTTGAAACTCTATAGAATAGATTTGGATGGAATTGATTTTCCAATTTCAATTTATTTTTAGCACTGCCTATTCCGAATCCACTTGTGCTACCAAATGGTATAATTGAAATTATTGCCCCAAATTTCAATTCATCGTTTGAATTTCTTGTAACAAATGGGACTTAATAGAAATTTCAGAAACTGCAATTCCATGGATACATTGTGAGAATCAATGCAATTCAAGGATGGAAGGAAGGAAGGAAAGATAGTTTTAGTTTCGTGCCTGGTTTGGGTGAGGGCGGGGCGGAGACGATCTTCGGATCATCTTTCTGAGTTCTGACCCGACTTCCTGAAATGTGGATCTTGTGATTTCGGTGTCGACCCGAAAACGAAATATATAGGCCGCGGCGCCCCGGTGGCGTGTTCCTACTCATCTGCGGTCGCTGTCGCCTCCACGGTGGCTCGATGATCGACCTTATCCCTTCCTGTCTTTTCGATTAGATGTCTGCGTTTTTGAAGAGATTAAAAAAAAGGAAAAAAAATCTCTCGTTTCTTTCTTGGATAAACATCATCATCCCTGCTGGAGGACAGGCCGGCGTGCTTCCTTTATGCGGATCTGATTTGCCGCCAAAGAAAAATGTTTTTGCACCAGAAGCCTAAAGGGATGTACGGTGTAATTTACCAAAAAAAGTAATTAAAATTCAATTTATATATGAGAAGAAGCTTAAAGTAAAATAGAAACATAGAAAATATATCAAATTATGAATTACATGTTGTTTTACATAAAATAGGAATTAAAATGTATGTATTGTGTCAATCATTAGTATATACATTACGAAAAAGTATCAATAAATATTTATATACAGTGTCACATTTTTAAAGTGTCACATTTTACATTGTAAAATTTTATTTTAGAGATAAAAATATGAAGTTCATACTTAAATCTTTTTTTTATATTTTGCTCTAATTTAGAGTAATTTCTTTTTATCCTATTCTGAACAACTATTAGGGACGTAATTCATCCTTTTCAAATATTCAATTTTCCCATTTCAATTTAGAGTATGAATTCAAAATGGTACTCAATAGTTACCTATTTAACTTAATTACTCTCCAAGATGAACTAATTATCAAAACAATACTTGTCAATTAAGAATAATGCTTGGTTTAGTCTCTCCCACTAATATCCGTCAAAACCATGTTAAAACTTGTATCAATTGTACAAAATGATCCTTTCTATTTGAGGGTTTGCTCAAATAAATTACTTTTTTATATAAAAACTCATTAAATGTGAAAAATAATTTAAAATTTTGTAGGATGTGAATATAATAATTAAAACTATAAGTATAATCTTATAAATTTGATAGTAAGCATTTTACATTGTTACAATTATTTAAAAACATATCACGTAAAAAAATATTTAATAAACATTATTTACTTGCTCTCCTGTTTTGAAATAAGGCTTTTGTCTTAGCTTACTATGCATGGTGGAATTTATTTGAAAAAATTATTACTAAACATTAGTCTAGAATTTAAAAAATATTAAAATGTATTAAGAAAATAGATCTATTTTGACACATGTGAATATTAAACACGAGCCTTATTTGGAGATGAATGATGTGTTATCTTAGTCATTGTTATTTTATAATTATCGAATTCAATTTTATGTAATTCTGAAGTTCATAGTTTATTTCGTACACATTATTATTCTTAAAACGGAATCTCATTTTATAATGTTCCTCTCAAAGATCATATACTACATGGTAGTATATTACCAAGGGAGTGAGGAGGCAAAAGTTAAGGGCACTAGGAATCTGGGATGGGTTGGGCTGGTGTTTAGGATGAAGTTATAGGAGTATGAATAAAGAATTAGAGCTGATGCCTTGCTCTTACAAGAAGGAGCGAGGTCCCATAGCTAGAATTTCCAACACATGTGGATTGTTCCTCAATACCAAGAAGAAGACCCTTACCCCAAAACTCGAGACAAAGGTCATGGTCTTTTCGCTTTATTTGATTGGTTCTGATCTGATTTGAAAAAAATTTTGATTTGAATTTATCTAGCCTGATTTGGTCTGATCTAATATGATCTGATTCTAATAGGAATAAGTAATACGTAAAAAAATATGTAGAGAAAAACATGGCCAAAAGGCTCCTTGAATAAGAGAGCCCTAGACGATTGCAATTTTATAGAATTCTACATTATATTTTCTAGAAAATTTTAATTGGTACACACAAAAAACTAGCCAATTCAACTTCTCTTTTCTCAATTTCGACGGGTTCAACATTTCATTAGTATGAGTCTGAGGAATGGCCTTCGGGAATGTGGACACAGGTGGTGCATGGCTGTCGACAGCTCGTGCCGTGAGGTCTTGGGTTCAGTTTTGCAACAAGCACAACCCTTTGTGTTAAGTGGTCATCGTTCCATTTGGAACCATGAAGAGAGTATCGGTGATAACTGGAGGAAGGTGAGGATGACGTGAAAAAACAAGTAGCTCCAATGCTTCGTGTGGGCCCGTTGAGTAGACAGGGCGTGCAAGATCCCATGCCCGTGATATGGTTTTCTTGCTCCTGTGGCAGCAGGGACCGAGCACAAAATTTTATTGTTGGGAGACACGCGAGCAAAGATGTGGCCGAGTCTGACCATGGGTCCAGGTGCATGGACCCGAGATGAGTAGAGACGCGTGTCCGAGTACAGTTGCTACTTTGAGGGCTTGGTTTCCTTTAAGTCCTGCTCAGTCAAGTAGGACCTCTTTGGTTGAACACGTTGGATTCCTACGATTAGATGAGCCTTGTGTTGGGCCATTATTGACCATATTTTCTTTTACTTATTTTTTGTTTATTTATTACGGAGGATTTTCATTTATTCACCATACAAATTTTGAAACATTTTAAATTCTACAAGTGATTTAAATCACATTAGACTAATTCTAATCGTATCATATCAACCCAAGGGCTCGTTTGGTAAACATATGAGATATGAATTTCTATATTCCCCAATATCAGATTTCATTTTGGTATTTGGTTAAACATAAAAAGAATTCGAATCCGATATCTCCAAATATCAGTAACCTTCCAAATAAAGGATTTGATATTTTATAAATTTGGGAGATATAAATATGAGAATTTGATACTTCCTCAACCCTCGACCATCCCCGCCACTGGATGCCATTCCACTGCCAATTACTAATCTCTCTAAATTACTTTATTTCAAATTTCAAAACGTATTTCATTTCTCTCATACTTTAAAATCCATATCATTTTTCATTTTTCAACTCACCAAAAAAACCTATTTTTTTTGAAAGGAACTTTAAAAGAACTGATGAGATCACATATAATTGAAGACAAATACTTTCATAGTCTTCATGTCCATTCTAATGATATGAACTTTGCTGATATAAATTCTTAATATTAGTATTAGGATTAAGATTAGAGAATTAAGATTAGTATTAGGTGATTATGGTTAGGATTATGCAATTAGGATTAGAATTAGAGTTAGAGAAAATATTAGGATTATGATTAAGGGGCTGTTTGTTTCAGCTTCTTAATGGTTCAGATGTCTGAATGGTTCAGCACTTAATGGTTCAGACTGTTTATTTCAGCCTCTTAATGGTTCAGATGTCTGAATGGCTCAGACATTTGCCACTGAATGGTTAAGTATTATACAGAGTCTGAATGATTAAGACCTCTTATCTGAATTGATCAGATATTTGCATCTGAATAGTTAAGCAATATACTAGCTCTTAGTGGTTCAGACCTCTTACTGGTTCAGTACTTAATAGTTCAGATCTCTTACTGGTTCAACACTTACCTATTCAAAAGTTGCCAAACAGCCCATAAGATGTTAGCCTGAATGAAATAAACATTTTTCCACATTCACGGATTCACCCCTCATTGCTGAAATATCGGACCCCCGACCCCTGCTCCGAATCTCCGACCCGTTTGGCACGTTCACATTCCATTGAAGCGGAAATAAACGACATGGCGGCGTCCCACCGCCCACGAGCCCACGACGGAGATTGTAAAAACTGAAATTGCTTCTTACCACGTACCGAATGGAACGGGTAGTTTGCCCGCCTTAATATAGAAGAAGAAGAAGAAGAACCCTAGGTTGAATTGCAGAGCGAGCGGGAGCCCAGGGTTCAACTGAAAATGTCGAAGAAAGAGGCTACGAGGAGAGAGCTTCTGGATCGATGGAGAGGCATCGAAGAGGAAGAAGACGATTGCGACGACGGCGAAGACTCAAACTCCCTCAAGCGCCGTCGTCTTCACCAGCTCAAAGAAGACTGGTCTGTTGTCCATTTTCCATCCCCTGTCTTCATTTCCTTCTCTGCGCTTTCCCCCATTTCCGCAAGAACATTGAGAAAGACCTAAAGGAAACGGAACCGCTGTAACCTCTCGGAGATGAGCGGAGAGGCGATTGTAACATGAATAGAAAACTTGCTATCGATGACATTAATTATTGAACTTGAACTGGTAAAGTCTCAGTGCTGGGCTCTGATAATGTGGACTGGATTAATCCATGCCAACCAGCTCTAGCAAAACCTCCCCCATGTTTAAAAACTTTAATCAGTAGCTAAATCTGCGAACATATAGCTGGAAACCCCTTAAGCTCAAACTCTACATGACATGTAGGATAAGAGCTGATGGAATTGAAGCATGCTTCCTTTTTCTATTTAGTTGACATGTAGTGTATTTGGTGTTTGATCTACAGGTTTTCAGATGCATTCCACTTCTTGATCTACTTGCCGAAGGGGATTCATATTTGGTGTGGTTCTTGGGACCTGATGGGACCGTTACTGGAGACATTCTACAATTACTATAAAGACGAGCGCAAGGATTCTCCTCTTAAGGTTCTATGGGATAGAGTGACAGAGGAGATGCGCTCTTGCACTCAGTGTGTGTGTCAGTACCATCAAGCCCAGGAGATGTATAGCACAGAATACGAGTTAAGTTCAATAGGCCCTCTTCTTGATGTATTGCACACTCTTGACGAAGAAAGAATAAGTGTGCACCTAAAAGAGATCAATGCAAGAATAGCTCGCGGAGAATCTGATTTGGGGAGTGACAATGCTGAAATTGTTTGCGTCATGTTTGAGGTAATTTCTGTCTCTTTCTTGATTATATACTAAAGACACTGGCTTTTCCCCGTTCCATTACAACAAAACTAAGTTATGCAGCTCATCTACATTTGACTAAAAAATATATTTGTTTTATCACATTATATTATCATTTTGCAAACAGCCTCTCCACCTTTTTGAGGTAGGGGTAAGGTCAGCGTACAATGACCCTCCCAACTCCCACGACCCCACTCGTGGGATCTTATGCGAAATGTTGTTGTTGCTGTATAGTAGCAACTTGTACAATGAAGAACGATCTTGCTCAGCATATATGTAAAGCAGTCTTTGTGGGGTTACAACTTAAAACTAGGGAATAACTCATGTGATCATTTTTTTCTCATTATTACTAATGCAGTCCTTTCTCTTGCGTAACAGGTTTTGATGTTTCCCATTTTGTTAGATGACGATTCTTTAGCAAAAGAATTTCAAAAATTCATTGAGGCAATTGATGACTCTCATGAATTGACCCTAGGTGGCCACCAACAATATCCGGTGGGTCTTGCTTTTGTTTAATTTGTATCCCATGGCATGCATTGCACTTTTTTTCTTCTAATTAATTAGTTTGTTTTTAGGGAGTTTATGCATTACTTTTTTGTAAAAGTCGGCGATCACGTTCTATTGGTTTCCGATTGGCAAGACAAATGAGTAGACTGAGGTACTGGATTATGCTGATTTATGTTATGCAAATATAGTGCACTCTTTTATGTTGCTCATTTACTGATATTTTGCTAATCACTAAAACATAGATCTTCGGGCTTTTGACATCAAGTGGCATACTGTCTGTTCATTGTTTACTTTTACTATGTATTGGACTATTGGCCATTAAATTAATGTTTGAGTGTTGTTTTTTAGCATAGATATCTGGAATCTCTTATTTTTATATTAAAGTTACATTTGGTTTAATCATAGAGTAAGTGTGATAGGTTATATATGACATTTTCACACCTCTCATAGTGAAGCTATGTAAATAAATATGTGTTCTCATGTACAAAATCTATAAGATTTTTGTTTTGTTTAAGGAACTATACGAGTCAATGTTAAGCATATGACTCTAGTCAATTATTTAATATTACGAGATTAAATGCTCAATGGTTACACACACACACACAATGTAGTGTATTGATCTATGCATGTCTTCAGGATGTACTTAAAAGGTGAAGTTGGCAAGATAATTGAAATGATCCACCCTTTGCACGAATGAGATTCCCACTATATTATTAATGTTTGCTTAGTTTCTATTTACAGGCAATCAGCTGACTTAGATCCTTTGCAGCCTTTACTGAAGCGATACATCAATTTCTTGGATTCTGAAGTCTCATCAACTGCTTCTCTGGCTTCTAGGCCTAGGGTGCATCTGGAACGGCTAACTGTATGGCTTGGAATCAAAGCACTGTAGGAAGCAGCTGTTATTTACCTGCTGCCTTAAGTAGTTATCTGAATATTTTTCTCAGAATTGACTATCTTTCTTCTTCTTGTGTCTTGAAGCCTTGGGTTTTTAGAACCCCCAGCTTTTGAAGAAGGGATTTTAGATAGATATCCCATATTCCTCAGTCTTGTTCTCAACCATATTAGTGACGACTCTCCTGAATTTTCCTATGCAGTTAATTCTCTGAGATTGCTTTTTGAAATGCTTGGTATGTACTTATTTGGTCTGTGTTTTCCTTTTCAAGCGGCCCAATGACACCTTAGATACTAATGTATTTCAAATATGTTTATATGAAGGGTATAAGCTTTGGTTGAGAACTACGTTGTCACCAGGTGTAATGAGGAATACATTACTGGGTCAATCTTTCCACACTCGAAATGAGAAGAGCCACAAAGAAATTTTTGATCTTTTCCAGCCTCTCCTTCAGGTAAATCACACTCAAAAAATTTCAAGATGTGGAGAGATTTATTGCTTCGGTTCGTTCTCTTTGCATATTAGTGTGTAACGGTTAACCTTAACTCTTTAAGACCTTTGGCTTAGTACCTGCTTGATGTCCATAATAGTCACCATTTTTTTACTTGTTTTCTGCTCTGGTATGTCAGCAGATGAGTAATGGCATGTCTTTTTTTTGCACTCGTTTAAATATTTGCTTCAGTCTCTTGAAGCTTTACAAGACGGAGAGCATGAAAAGCAACGAAGACATTTCCTTTATTTTCTCCTACATCAAGTGACTGTGAGCAGCAACTTCAGCATGCTAATGAGGAAAAAGGCTTGCCAGGTTTATGTTTCATCCTGTTGATAAAGTATGTTTTAATCCCATGTTTTCCAGCTATCATTGTAAGTTTGTGTATTTGGCAGATTGCTTTGCTCATTGTTCACCGAGGTTACAAGATGAACCCACCTAGTCCGCCTTATGAATGTGCAAATATGTGGTGTGTACTCTGTTTCTCTTGTTCAGTAAGACTGTCTGTCATTTAGTATCAATTCTTCATTTGCTTCAGCATTTCTTCATCTGACATGATTTAGGTGTCCTTGTTTAGTTTTTTTGTTTTTAGACAGTGTAATGGAACATGCAACAGTACTGCATGACTATCTTTATGTGGTGCCGATATGGGGTTAATGTGTTACCTCGTGATGCAAAACTACTTGCATAAAACACAGGGAACATATACGTAT